AGCAGGTCTGAACGTGAATGAAATCACTCCAATCCTATTGGTTTGTTGCTAGAACGATAAGGTGTGATGGAATAACCAGAGGAGTATAAAGCACACCTGTACACACTCATCATTAGCTTTTTTCTATTCAGCAGGCGCTCTGTATGTTGTTTGAAGAAAGCTCCAGTCCTACAAGCAGTGTGTCTTACCTGAAGAAGAAGTCTACCAGCATGTCCGGCAACCAGATGTACAGAAGGTGTGTTTTTCCTTGCCCTCGGTACATCACGGATGGAGATTCTCATGAGATGTGTGTCTCATGTTTGGGGATGGAGCACGCTCGGGCAGCTCTCGAGGGGGCTGCCTGCGCCCGTTGCGAAGCCCTTTCCATGCGGGTACTGAGGTACAGCATGGCTCTCTTTTCCGAGGATGGCCGGATGTGTTCTCCCCGCGGTGCAGGCCCTGCGGCCGCTGAGGCGGCCCAGCAGCTTCACTCATGGGGTTCACAACGTTATCTGGGACATCACGGATGTCTTGCAGCAATCTGACTCTGAGGAGGCGGACTTGCTCAGCGTCATCAGGCGGCGCCCGACTATGACGAGCTGCTGGAGGTGGTGACTATAGCCGTGGCTAAGCTCAACATCAACTGGCCACAGGAGGAGCAGACACCACAGGCTAGTGGTAAGCTTGATGAAAGGTTTCTTAAGCACCACATGCCACCTTCATGCCGGTCTCTGCTATTCTTTCCTGATTTACATGATGAACTGAGTAAATCATGGGGCAGACCCTTCTCTACACGGCTTTCCACACCCCGATCACTGAACTACAGTAATGTGATGGGGGTTAGGGACCGTGGTTAGCGGAGGATGCCTCGGGTGGAGGATGCGCTTGCGAGCTATCTCTCCCCTCGACTTGCGTCATCCCTGGAGAAGCTGGCATTACCCTCCAAGCCATGTCGCACCACATCTACGCTCGTGGGGAAGGCGTACATGGCAGCAGGCCAGGCAGGTGCGAGCTGCACTTTCCCCTTGCACATTCACCAAGTGTATGGATGCAGCACTGGCCCCGCTGAGGCTCCAGGGCATCCGGATTTTCAACAACGACGACTGGCTCATCCTAGCCCAGTCTCGAGAGTTGGCGGTTCGGCATCGAGATGTCGTTCTGGCTCATCTGCTGCGTTTAGGGCTGAGGCTCAACGCAAAGAAGAGTGTGCTGGCGCCCACCCAACGGACTACATTCCTAGGGGTAGTATGGGATTCGACAACGATGCGGGCACAGTTGTCTCCGGCACGTGTCGACACCATATTGGCTGCCGTGAAAGGGGTGAAGTTAGGCCACGCCATCACTATAAAACACTTTCAACGAGTGTTGGGTCTCCTGGCGGCTGCGTCCAGCGTAATACCATCTGGACTGCTGCACATGAGACCCCTGCAGTGTTAGGACCAAGGGTTTTTCCCCGAGGGAAGCCGCTTTGCAAGGGGATCCTGGCAGGTGCATCAGTCCGAGTGGCATATCAACTGTCTCAAGATGTTGGCGATGTTCCAGGCTCTAAGGAGTTTCCTGCCCGATCTCCAAGGCCATATGGTGGCCTATCTGAATCACCAGGGCGGTCTGCGCTCGCGCCCTCTGTACAGACTGGCGCGTCAGATCCTCCTGTGGTCCTAGCAGAGGTTACTATTGCTCAGGGCGATGTATCTCCCGGGGACGCAGAATCAGGGAGCAGACCTGGCTGAGGCCCGGGGAATGGAGACTTCACTTCGAAGTGGTGGAGCTCTTGTGCGGAGAGTTCGGCTCCATAGACGTGGATCTGTTTGCGTCTCAAGAGACTATGCACTGCCCGCTATGGTTTTCTCTCATTCCTCCAGCCCCATTGGGTCTGGACGCCATGGTACATTCGTGGCCGAGGCTACGTCTGTACACTTTTCCCTTAGTCGCTCTGCTCCCGGGGGTTCTGGAGCGGGTCCGCCAGGAAAATGTCGGCCTACTGCTCATAGCCCTGTTCTGGCCAACCCGGGTGTGGTTCTCGGACATCATGTCGCTCCTGGACGGCCCGCCGTGGCAGGTCCCTCTGAGGAGAGACCTGCTGTCCCAGGCGCAGGGCCGGGTTCTTCACCCTTGCCCCGCCGTATGCCGACTGTGGGTCTGGCCCCTGAGGTGGCACAGTACCTAGAGGCGGGTCTAACAGCTGGAGCAGTCGAGACCCTCCTCAGCTCCAGGGCCCCGTCCACACGGATCCTCCGTGGTGCCCGGATGAGACCTGCGACTCGGTCCAAGGTTCCCACTCGGGATCTGGCGGTGGTTCTTGGGGCGTTGGCTGAGGCCCCCTTCGAACCCCTGGAGTCAGCTGAGGCTAAGCACTTGACCCTCAAGATGGCCTTTCTCCTTGCTATCACCTCTCTGAGGAGGGTGGGGGATCTGCCTTCTTGTGCGGCAGGGTCCACAGTGCTGCAGGCATTTCATCCTCCACCTCATGTGACAGAGAAGGACGGGAGACTTCATCTGCTCTGCCCTGTCAGAGCACTGAGTATTTACACTCTGAGGTCCTCCCGTTGGAGGAAGGCTGACCAACTGCTAGTGTATTTTGGGTCCCCAGGGCTGGGCTCCCTGCACCCAAACATACTATTAGCAACTGGATTGTTCAGACTATTTCCCTGGCCTATCAGGTGCGCGGTTTGCCTTCACCTGTGGCTGTGAGGGCTCATTCTACCAGAGGCATGGCGGCCGCACACATTCATTCGGTTTACAGTCTTGAACTTCCTTCGGCACCTGGTGCGCTCTCCTCTTAGTCGTGCCACTTTATTGCACACTGGGGCAGGCGGGGTTTTTGGCACGGTTTAGTGGGTATCTCGTTCCCATAGTGTCGTAACCGACGCAGTTTGAGTTCCCTCGAAGGGGAACGTCTCGGGTTACGTATGTAACCCTGGTTCCCCGAGAAGGGGAACGAGACACTGCGCCGGCCCGCCGCACCTCTCTCCCCGCCTGAAGCGCCTGCGTCATAGTTTAAGCTAATGATGAGTGTGTACAGGTGTGCTTTATACTCCTCCGGTTATTCCGTCACACCTTACCGTTCTAGCAACAAACCAATAGGATTGGAGTGATTTCATTCACGTTCAGACCTGCTACGCCTAGAGGCGTTCCCATAGTGTCGTAACCGACGCAGTGTCTCGTTCCCCTTCTCGGGGAACCAGGGTTACATACGTTACATATAGGAAACTATATTCCTTTGCCTAAAGGGGACACGTGGTATGGAGCCAATGTGGTCTTCTCCAGTTTCCTGCCTTAAGTAATTCACATACTCTCAACATCACTATTGTAAATCAATCCTGATCCAAACATGAAAACAACAGTGATTATGAGAACATTCAAGGAAAACCCAGTTCAACCAACAGCTATTTCAGCAGATCATTAAACCAGTTTACTTGAGGCTCTTAACTAAGTCGTATACATTTTAACACTATAATTATTAACAGTTATGTTCTACATGACATAGCCTAGTATAATAGTTACAACATTGCACAGATTCCTAATGCCGATCACAAAGACTTCTGTCCATTGGTAAGTAGTTGGCAATGTAGTTACATGGTAAAAAAGAGGTTAATTGTGTTAATAAATAAAAATAAAAGTTGATTATCCTTATTTCAGACCTGTCTCAAAAGAAGTAATAGTTTATTTAAGGATGTCCGTTTATCTCTTATTATCGCAACTTATCTCAAACCACATGTTGGGTGAGAGGAAAGTGTGTGTGTGTGTGTGTGGGTGGGTGGGTGTTCAGTCTTTTCTCATTACTCAAACAATCAAAGGGAAGGTATATGGTTCTTCACATCCTTGCCATGAATTCATTATGTTGACGACACACATCTTCTCAGGGGTGACAAGTTTTTGTCTTATCTGGCGAGTCTCCAAATTTACATCTTTACTATCAGAGAAAGGAGATGTTAGTGTGCAGACCTGCAGACTCTCAGGAGAGGTTTATTCAACCCCCCAATGGAATTCTACAGAGTCATAAATGCTGCAGTGTCTGTTAATGTGTGAGACTTAATTGTGCTCACCACAGCGTGTATGGGAAGCATCGTATTTTATATAGTGTCACAAACATCAGTGTTGCATCATCTTTAATTTTTACCACCTGCTGGTTTCTTAACAAGAGTATGCATGGATCAGTGTGTGTGTGTTTGTGCCACTCCACTTATTGTTTTGCCTTTTACAATTAACGCTGAATTAAAGTACAATTACTCTGATCTGATTAGCTGTGAGAAGGGAAACAATAACATTTATTTCTTCTATGTTGTATTTAATTTCTTAATGCAGCACTGTAAAATAATAGATACTAAATCTTTTTTTTTTGCTTCTCCACACAGTCATATTAACATTGCTGCCAGTCCTCCCTTTAAGACTTGACAGTTCTTGCCACATGCCAACCTGTTGACAGCCAGTAGTAGTGATACTGCTGCCAGCTGTCATCCAGAGAAAGTAGCATGAATTATAAGTATGGCTCCTCTCCTATTGGGTCACCTTTGGCCCCACCTGAGTGGACAGTCCAGCGAGACAGAAGCCTTTCTCTTTAGACAGCATGAGAAATGTCCGTTTGCAGGTCGCAGCTTAACCCTAACCATAACTGTCTCTACACAGAGTATGTCTTTGAGCGGTGTCCACAAGTTGCAGATAGCTCTTCTTGGGACTGGGCAACGTGTGATCAGTGCTTGTGCAATTAAGAGTAACATGAATGTTTCACCCCTGCATCAATATCAGGGCAAAACATCTGTTTGTCAAGTGCTTTTATTTAACATTTTTCTTCATGGTCCAAATAAGTTGCTCTTGAGAATGTTTGAAAAGGGTTGTAAAAAGTCATAGTATAGTGACAAACTAGAAAGAACATAGCTACATTACCGTAAACACCAGGTAGGAAATTTTTCAGATTTGACTCACTGACTATCTAAAAATCAATGTATGCAGATTTTTGGCATTTAACCCCACATCCGAATGTCACCATGTCACATTTTGACATTAATTATCAGCATAAAAACATGGCTGTCTTTGTGTTATGTGCTCCAGAGATTGAACGAGGAGGCTGTGGTGATCCCGGAGTGCCGGCATTTGGGCGCCGTAGCGGTGATCGCTTTCAGCATGGTGATGTGTTGACGTTCTTTTGCCAGTCAGCCTTTGAACTGGTGGGAGAGAGGACTATCACATGCCAGCACAACAACCAGTGGTCTGGCAATAAACCCAGTTGTGTCTGTAAGTACACATATTTTAAAAAAATATTTGTGTTGACTATGTTACTGCGTTTAGAGCCGGGTCAGGGGGGTAATATTCTGAGAAAAAACTCAGGTTTTTGTTTTTTTTGTTTCATATATTCTTCGTTGTACACCACTGTTGTGTGTGTTATACATTTATGAGAAAAAAACAGATATTCTCTGAGATTAATCACAATTTCTCAGATGTTGAGATGATTGAAGGCTCAGTACTCCATTAAATGCTGGATATGCAGATGTTGATAAGAGTCTTCCTTCTCTTCGAAGATCAAAATCAAAATTGGGGAAGAATTGCGGACATTGATATTATAATTGACTAAGATGTTACTCAAATGGCTTTGTTGCAGTCCCAGTCGTATACAGTATATCTGCCTGTCTGAAAGCTCCACCTCTCCTCTTATGTCTGCACTGAGCTCTTGTGGAAAACACACATTTTTCCACAACTTTATTGACTTTAATCTCGGGAATTCTGAGTTATTTTTTTATACCTACAATGGCCCTAATACGGCGTCATAATTAATTGTTTTTCTGTATGTATCTTCCATTTTTTTTTCTTTAGTACCTTGTGCTGAATCTATGTATCTGTCTTTGCCTCTCTGTTTGAATTCTTGCCGAATAATCCAACACCTTAACCTCTTTCCTTCCCACCTTTATTCCTTTGTTACTTTCTGTTTGTAGTCTCATGTTTCTTCAACTTCACGGCTCCATCTGGGACTATATTGTCCCCGAACTACCCAGAGGAGTATGGAAACAACCTGAACTGTGTGTGGTTGATTATCTCTGAACCTGGGAGCCGCATTCATCTCCTATTCTCTGACTTTGACCTGGAGCCACAGTTTGACTGGTTGGTGGTCAAAGATGAAGGTAATTCTATTATAATATTTCACCATGTTTTTAAAAAACGTCTTCCTAAATTAAGACCTCAGGGTATGGTTAAGCAAGTTATGTATTGGTTATATATGAATGGGCATGTGTATACAACTGAAAAAGTAAATTAATTTGGTGGAGCAACTCTGCCTCAACATGTAATTTTAATCTGTATCCAGTAGGTAAAGCGAATTTCAAATTGGATTTGGTTGTTAAATGCCTGGCTGCCAAACTCGATGGATGGATGGATGGATGGATGCATAGTTGTAATCTTTTATATTGTTTTTGCATTTTTCTACTACAAACAGAAAGCAGGGCAATTAGATGTCTGTTCCCCATTGTAATACAGGTTATTGATTTAAACTGAATTGAGTAAAGCCCTAGTTTGAGTAGTTGGTCATTAAAGATGACGTGTTTAATTCAGGGTCTGTAAACCTGGCCCTCTGCAGGAATGTTTTTTGTAGTAGCATTTAGAAAATTGCCAGGCAATTAGTGCTTTTGCACTGGGCAAACTGAAATTAAATTTGTTAAAGTTTTTTCTGCTTGGTAATAATTTTGGTATGATTTGGTATGGTTAAAAATGTGTCCTGTAACTGACATGCCCTCTTGAAATTAATTATGATATTGAAATATTAATGATAATTACTGTCTAAATGACAAGGTTAGGGTTGAAACCGCAAGTGCTGTTTAGTGATGTGAGAAATGTTGCTTCAAAAATCAGGTGGACTTCTAAATCTAGTCAAACATAAGTCAAAAATAAGTCAAGTGAAAGCCACGTGTATAAAGTTTATACAGCACAATATTTTATAAATGTGACAAAAGTTGCTTTCATGGCAAGCAACCAGAACAACCATGAACAGATGTTGGTTCATAAATAGCATGTAACGGATCAATACTCACTTATATGGCACCCGTTAAATGGTTCGTAATTGGTCTTTAGAAAGTAAACTACTATATGAGACTGCCTTTAATACTCTTACGCTTTTCAGAATCACACAGAATATATTTATGAATCAGTTTGAACTTAAAGGCTGCACCACCATTCTCAATTGGCTCTTAGATGAGAAAATTGGTTTAAAACTAACACAACTCAGCATTGCTCAGTAACTTTAATGTAAAGCACTGATAACAAAGTGAAAACATATATTGGGCAGTTATTTGAAGTGGTTGTAATAACCAGATCACTTCTCAGGTTTTGCCCATCACTTATTCATCGCTGAAAATATATCAGCATCAATGATTGATTTGCATTGTCTAATATCCTGTCCTTATGTCAGACATTAAATATTGGGATCCTTATGATCCACAATTTTGCATTTTTGCAGCCAGTGTGGTGACTCACAGTCCGCTATTGTGCCTTTAAAAATTGCATATACAAAAAAAATAATTAGATGCTTTGGCCCAGGAAGAAAATAAGTCTGCACCCCAAGTTAAAAGTTTCTCTGGATCAGAGAAACCCAAGGGCGTTTCTGTTCACCAAGGAGTTTATGTGACTTTGACACTCATAACTTTCTTTTCTTTTTTAATCCCGGATAATTAACAGTAGCATGAAATCCACCCTAAAAAATCGAATAAAGCTTCAAGGTACCCCTTTGAACAGTGTGTAAATGGTTAATCGTAATCAAACAGCCATTGTTGGCATCTAAAATAAGAGAACTTTGTGATAGACTATAACAAAAGGCTTCTCTCTAAATCTCTCCCCTTAGATAAGACAACGTAGGACCTTGTCACTCTTTCAGCTATTGTCACGTTGATTTTCTTTCCACTCCTGGTCTCTTGCCCATCAATGCAATAATGAATAAGTGAAAGAGCTTGTGGGTTGCTGAAGAACCAAGAGACTGGCATTTCCCAACTCAGTCACTGTGTAACTTAAATGAGTCTAAGTGCATGGGATCCAAAACTCCAAGTCAACGAGGAAATGAAAAAAAAAATTATGGGAGAGTTGGCGAAGAATCCCTATTTCATAAACAGTGTGTTTTATTAGTGTGTGTGTGTGTGTGTGTGTTCTCATAGCTTTATTTCTTTCCCTTGCAGAAAAGGTTGTCAACACGTTGCTTTTAATTGTACCTTTTGTAGTTAGATTCATAAGATGGTTTGAATATTACTTTCAATAGAGAGTATACACAACAATGTAATCTAAAACACACCGCAGTGCATCATGCTGATTAATTTTTGTTATGTTTAAACAATTGTGTGGGGTTTTTTTTAAAGCTCAAGAATGATGAGGAACAGTGTCAAAACCATGATATACAGCCAATCAATACTATAGGCTTCAACTATTTCAGGATTTGTTAATGATTCTGGTGTATCTTATCTGATATTTTAAACGCCCTTAAAATAACTAATAAACAACTAATACAGTCTAATTACTGTTTGGGTTAAGGTTTCCTCAATAACTGTAATCATAGTATGAACTGGCTCAATACAATATCATGTAATGAATACAATGAATGCTGAATACTGAATACAAGGACCAGAAAAAGTCAGATCTTGGCTCTGCAGAAGAATAAAGCCTCTCTTTGGGATTGCGTATGACGCACCACATGAGCAAGTGTATGCAACACATCTATGTATACATTTGCTCTGTATGTGAATAGATTACCAAGACTGGAATTAAAGATTATTACTTGTCAGACTTTGAAAAAAGCATCATTGTAAATACCAGAGGGCTTTAGATTCACCAATACCACGGAGTTGCTTGAATCTTTGAGAGTAGCTTTCTTAAAGGTAATCAATACAACAGACCAGCACACAAGACACCACATCAAACCACTTGCTATCTGGGTAGATAACCCTTAGTGGATGAATGCAGGAAATGCCTAATAGCAAAAGGCCACAAGGAATAATCAACTTTTCCTACCCATGCAAAACTGCAGGTGTTTTCTGATTAATCACAGTCCCTGCTGCAACACCAATCTGCTAGACTCCTGGTGGGTCGTCAACAACAACAAGCATTGTGTTTCTTCTGGCAGTGAACTGAAGTTGTGCATGCCAATAGCTTATCAGCATCATTTGACATTTATAATCTCCCATCACACACACAAATACATTTCCAATCACATTCAATCAAGACAAAAAGGTGGTCTTTATCATCTCACTTATACTTGATCATTATTCCGCTGCCGCTGCTGGTGGTTAATCTGTTTATTTCTACCTGCTGCAAACTGCTGTTACTGGCTGTGGCGATTGATTTCTCCATCAACTAGCTCAGCCTCCTCCGGTTCAAGTGGCTTAATACCATAGGGAATGGCATTTCTTTCCTTGTGCATTATGTATATTCCATATCTCACTGATATGGGCCTGCTGGATTCTGTTCTGTGTAGCCCTTTAGGGTTTTATTGCACTCCCCCACTGAATCCGTTGCTGCCTGTTGGATGATTGGGGAGCACCCTCAAGAGCAGAGTGTATTCTGCCAAACAAAAGTATATAACCATTTGTTGCAGTAAATGGTCCTATGCTGTGACACAAATGTCTCAGACAGAAATGAGGTGATGCATGGTTACAGCTGTACAGGCCAGTGGGGGAGGTGTAATGGTTTCGGGGCCATTCAATTGGAATACAGTGGGTTTTTTAATGGCTATAGAGCAATGCCTTTATACCAGTGCACCCCTTAACATAGCATCTAGGCTCAGCCATTCATTTCATTCATGTACCCCCAAGGGGATGATGGGTATTTTGAGCAAGATAATGGCCCCTGCCGTGGTGACGGAATTGTCCAGGTATGCATGGTGCAAGACACATTCAGGTGAAAAAACGTTAATGACCTGGACACCACAATCCCCTGATAGAAGTCTCTTTAGGATTCACTCAGATGCAGCTTCTGTAGAAAAGAGCATCTACGTATCAACCTTTAGCAGTTCTATGAAGCACTGATGTCTGTCTGGTTTGCATTCAATACCGAGAACATGGCAGGTCCCTTGCTGAGTCACTGCCATACGGACATGTGGAAGCTGTTATTAGAGCTAGATATCAGTAGGATAGTCATATTAGATTTCTGTTTAAATAGTCTCGATTCAATGTAAGTTTTATCCAAAATTAATGAGATGGGTTATGAATCAATCATGTATTTATGTACAGCTACATTTATACATATTCTGCATTTTCTTCTTACAGTATTATTTATTAGTGCTTAGGCTTTTTTGAGATTACAATCAACATGAAAAAATCACTGGACACACTGTAACACATTAAAAAATTCCAAATCTCCAAAATGCCTTTTTCAAGGAACTATTAAAAATAAGATTGTTTTATATGAATTTTAACATCATCTCACTAGTTTCAGAAAGATATCTAAGCTCGTAGAGAAGCAAGTTATCCTTCAATGGCCTAAAGGAAAAACATCACCAAAAACTGAGTTTTCAACAACATAGACCATTTAATGTAACTCAGTGCTGTCATTATAAATGTAAAAAACAGTGTAATGAAATAATCAAACTGGGCCACCTGGGTCTGCTACACTATCTTAATACAACATACAGTGTCAGTAATTTGTCACTCTGAAAGCAGGGGTGGACTGCTAATCTGGCATACTGGGCAAAAGCCTGGTGGGCCGACGCACCTATTGGGCTGGTAAAACGTGAATTATTTATTGATATAACTGTTGAAAAATGGGCCAACATACTGGCCCAGCGAGCACAGACAGCGTCCCATTGGTTCATTTTCTATACTGACACTCGGCTGGCCCAATCACATCTCTTACTAGCCCCCCCCCCCCCGTCCAGTCCCTCCCCCTCTGCCCTCTGTTTCTTGTGTTGAGGGCCAAAAAACAAAAATCTTGTGACGGCTGCCGCCAAATGTGCCAAAATAACCGATATGTTTGCTACTGAGGCTGCAGTAGTTTTAACATCAACTGCAGTACCCGAGACTGTGCAGTCACAGACACTTGAAAGAGTAAAGGAGAGCCGTGGCCCCTGCCAGGCAGAGAAGGAGGCATTTATCAGTGAAGCAGAATGACAGAGTCCCTGTGACAGGGCCGAGGGACACAGAGAGCAGGAGGAGAGTGGAGGTGAAGCGGTAAGCATAGAGTAGCTCAACCTGTAGGGAGGGAGCAAGGAAGGTCATAGGTGTCATTTACACTGGAGACACTGGGGACATGTACCCATCACTTTTTGAGAGTGTTTGTTAAAAGTTTTCTGAAAAATAGTTTGTCCAAAAAAAGTAACTTAAGCTAAAAAAACAGCTACTGATTACTACGTTATATTCTATGATTTATATTTTCTGATGTGTAACTAACCAACCTGAATTTTGTTTCCCTTTATATAAATACAGGCATTTCCACCATAAATTGGTGCAGAAAATGTCTATAAATGCAGGAAATTAAGTGTTTAATGCTCAAAATCGTCTGGGAGAGGACCCACAGACCCCCTATCGTATATTTTATTGTTATGGAGGAGAATGTATTGTTGTGGTGAATTTTCTTCTAAATACTGTTAGAGTATCTTCCTGTCTTTTTATTGTGCATCGTCACGTCTAATAATACCCTTAATCCGAGCCCTTAAATGTCCTCACGACTTTTCAACACAAAGTGACACCATGTGTGTGCCATATGCCATAATGACAATGATGATAATAACTCCAATTAAGGTAAATAATAATAATATAATCATAACATCATAAAGTGAGACTGTCACCTACTGCTGGGGATCACTCACTGCCAAACAGCGCAGCATAAGCTATTTGACATTGTTTATGTAGAACAGTTCCTTAATGCAGTTTCAACTTCGGCCAACTGTCCTAATGGCTGTCATTATTTTGTCAGCAACGCGTTGGCTAATCCTACGCTGCTGTGAAAATTACCTGTACTTGACTATGAGTTGTGTACTCCATGCCACCTTTGATCACTAAGGACTCAATAATTGAGTGCGAATGAGTACACTTTCCACGGCACTTACTACTCAGCTTTACAGTGGTTTAGGGGAATATTATGGTATATTTAAGAGGACGTAATGAGGGTATTGGTATTGGTGAGGAGTGTCCGACCAATTGTTGTCAAAAATGCCAGGGCCGAATTTTTGCCCCAGTCTAGCCCTGTCTGAAAATAATCATTCTTCACCATGAATAGTTTTCATACTTAAGCATATTTTGCTGCTAATACTTGTTTACGTTTCTTAAATAAAATATTTTATTCAGGACTTGTCCATTTTGTTACTGACAGTATTGGGGAACTGAATGAAAGGAATTGAATGGATTCTTTGCACTCCATTAAATTCTTTAATCCAAAATGACTGGCAGACAGCAGGTGATGGGCTAATAGTTACAGCCATTGTGCTACCAACAACCCTTTTCTCTGGTGACTCCCAGAGAAGAGTATTTAATACAGTAGAAGATGTACATTGGCTGCATTTGAATGCAAAATAACATCAAAGCAACATATTAGGATTTGTTAAGTTTAATAAGAGTGAGAAACTACTGAATCATCTCAAAGTTCTTTTTTCCCTTGCCTTAATAACAGTTAATGCGTCTCTTGAGGTGTCTTTGGGTATTTAGTTTTTTTCCTTTACAGGAGTCCTTCCAAGTCTGTCCTTGGCCTAATGTTATACAGACAGAATTAGATAAGCACCATTAAAATGTGTCTCTAAAAGATTGTTTCAACTCTGTTCTATTTTAGGCCTGTCTGAGCCAACAACATTTGGGACGTTCTCAGGAAAAGATGTTCCATCACAGATCGCCTCAAACGGACACATCATCAGACTGGAATTTCAGTCTGATCATTCTAATACTGGAAAAGGCTTCAATATCAGTTACACCAGTATGTGCTACCTACCTACCTACCTACCTACCTACCTACCTACCCTCCTACCTATTTCTTTCTCTGTTTGTCTGTGTGCCAAAAATGATTGATTAAGTTTTTGCTATTTTATTTTCAACACAACCATTACATTTCAATGTAAGTGATTTAAGTTGCAGGTTTTAGTAGTTGCTCCTTCTGCATTCAGTGCATTTTATATTCCTTTTTGAATGTTTGTATTTGACTTAACTACTGGCTTTGTCTATAATATAGTATATCTATATATCTATCTATCTATCTATCTATATATAGTATCTTACAAAAGTGAGTACACCCCTCACATTATTGTAATTATTGGATTATATCTTTTCATGAGACAACACTGAAGAAACTTTGCTACAATGTAAAGTAGTTAGTGCACAGCTTGTATAACTTGTATGCTGTCCACTCAAAATAACACATCACACACCATTAATGTCTAAACTGCTTGCAACAAAAGTGAGTATACCCTAAAGTGAAAATGTCCAAATTGGGCCCAACTAGCCTTCCTGGTGTCATGTGACTTGTTAGTGTTACAAGGTCTCAGGTGTGAATGGGGAGCAAGTGTGTTAAATTTGGTGTTATCGCTCTCACACTCCCTCATACTGGTCACTGGAAGTTCAACATGGCACCTCATGGCAAAGAACTCTCTCTCTGGCAAAGAATTGTTGCTCTACATAATGATGGCCTAGGCTATAAGAAAATTGCCAAGACCCTGAAACTGAGCAGCAGCACGGTAGCCAAGACCATACAGCGGTTCAACAGGACAGGTTCCACTCTGAACAGGCCTCGCCATGGTCGACCAAAGAAGTTGAGTGCACGTGCTCAGCATCATATCCAGTGGTTGTCTTTGGGAAATAGACTATGAATGCTGCCAGAATTGCTGCAGAGGTTAAAGGAGTTGGGGGGGGGGTCACCCTTTCAGTGCTCAGACCATGCGCCGCACACTGCATCAAATTAGTCTGCACAGCTGTCATCCCAGAAGGAAGCCTCTTCTAAAGATGATGCACAAGAAAGCGCGCAAACAGTTTGCTGAAGACAAGCAGACTAAGGACATGGATTACTGGAACCATGTCCTGTGGTCTGATGAAAGCAAGATAAACTTAGTAGGTTCAGATGGTGTCAAGCGTGTGTGGCGGCAACCAGGTATGGAGTACAAAGACAAGTGTGTCTTGCCTACAGTCAAGCATGGCAGTGGGAGTGTCATGGTCTGGGGCTACATGAGTGCTGCTGCCACTGGGGAGCTACAGTTCATTGAGAGAACCATGAATGCCAACATGTACTGTGACATACTGAAGCAGAGCATGATCCCCTCCCTTCGGAGACTGAGCCGCAGGGCAGTATTCCAACATGATAACAACCCAAAACACACCTCCAAGACGATCACTGCCTTGCTAAAGAAGCTGAGGGTAAAGGTGACGGACTAGCCAAGCATGTCTTCAGACCTAAACCCTATTGAGGATCTGTGGGGCATCCTCAAACAGAAGGAGGAGCGCAAGGTCTCTAGCATCCACCAGCTTTGTGATGTCATCATGGAGGAGTGGAAGAGGACACCAGTGGCAACCTGTGAAGCTCTGGTGAACTCCATGCATGGGTTAAGGCAGTGCTGGAAAATAATGATGGCCACACAAAATATTTTGGGTCCAATTTGGACATTTTCACTTAAGGGTGTATTCACTTTTGTTGGCAGCGATTTAGGTATTAATGGCTGTGTGATGTGTTATTTTGAGGGGACAGCAAATTTACACTGTTATACAAGCTGTTTGTTCACTACTTTACATTGTAGCAAAGTGTCATTTCTTCAGTGTTGTCACATAGCTATATATGTATGAATGTATATCTATATATATCTATATCTATCTATATATAGATATATAGATAGATATGTATCAACTGAGTCAACTAAATAGTTATTTGTGATGTGGTGTGGCCATTTGTGTGCCAGTGCTGTTGTGTCTAGGTGTATTTTCCTTATTCCTGCAGTTATCCAGTCAACCGTCAGCATGATATCACTTTCAGATATTCGCAGAACAGTTACAATGAAGTTTTGATTGCAGAAAATTGTTAAACAGTTTTACAATGACAGCAGTAAACATGGGCAGCAGCTTTTTTAGGTAATTTCCTCAGAATGGAAGAGAAATTGCTTCTTGCAAGATACAGCTGGTGTATGATCATGTAGGGAGATGAACAGAAGAGTCAGTTGACTATAATCACCTGTGCATGTAACCAACAATTCAAAGCAATAAGTGAATGCCCCTTTCTTAAGCATTGCTATGAGGCATTTTGGCAAATCGAGAGAATCACTATAGGTAGTGAGGTATAAGTACAGAAGTGCTGGCAGCACTTTATAGTAAAATAAAATAGGCTATAACTCTCGCTGATATCTTGCGCAAGATGAGTATTCAGGAGTGAGTTTTCTGTTTGAATACTACATGAGAACCCCACTGTAGATTCTACATCAGTCATCTAAGTATAGTATACAAACTCTTTTTTTCATTCATCTGTCTAGTGAAGCTAATTAGGCAACTAAATTTCCAAATATAAGGAGTTTATTTGAAAGGGTTTCAGGCACTGCCTTAAAGGATCTGCGTAGCTACTATCTCTGGATATAATATCTATTAAAGACCATTCAAACACAAATATTAAAAACAGAAATACAGTAACTGGCTCAGGTGAAAATGTATTTTCATCACTAACTAACCAGAACTGAAAAATAATGCTAACATTCCCTTCATCTGTGGTGAGTTAGACTGCTTCTACTTTACCTGGTTAAGTCTGTCCCATTGTCAACTCTGTCTACTGCTGCCTGTATATTTATCTGCTCTGAGCTGAACTAGTTCTGCATGACTGATTCTGATTAATTCTCTGTGATTTCCATGCGGTTTTGCACCATTTCACACACTGCCTCCCAAATGACCTTGCCTCCGACTCTTCCTTGGAAGGTGCCTTTTGACAAATGAAAATACTAAATGATTTTTTTGGCCTCTCCTATACCACAACATATAAAAAGTCCAATCTCTAATCCTAACGCAAACATTTTTTCCCACCCTAATCCTAACACAAATGAATGGCTTGATGCACCATTGGAAGCAATAATATGCCATGTGTCCTTTTTCACTTATAAACATTTCCAAAGGAAATGTACAAATACAGAAATCCTCTTATGTTTCTCTTTCCCTGGATATATTATGCAATATGTTTATTGTCAACATTCTTAAAAACACACTGTAGATAAATACTCATATTCTTAAAGAAAGACAAATGTTTAACTACAGACATATAGTTTTTGACAGTGAAATGCTTTGAGAATGTAATTTGAATGTCTGATCACATAAATTCTACTTTGGGACTTAAGAAAGATCAGGCATCTTTGTGCTGTTTCAGTAATTTGGTCTATTAACATTTTAATGCATATATGAATATCAATGGCTGTTACTTTGTATATATCAGTATTTATTTATATGAATAATGTTAGAAACAGAAGAAATAGGAACTTTGACACACCAGACTGCAGTTATGCACAAAGAGTAGTGCATTGGGAACCAAAGACTTATTTTCTTTACACCACTATGAAATTTAACCAATACAGTTATACGATCTGCTCCAAAATGTCACACGATGAACTGCGATTGCTACAGCACAGTGCGTTGCTGACCTCGCTGCATGTGACGGTAGCTGCAAAATTACACCAAACTCATTTGGTCCATGGTGAGCAACCAAGATACAAGAAAAAATGTTATACTCACTGCACCCCCTCAAAAAGGCACATGTTGCCAGTACAAAGCTACACCTGGCTGTCACTTTGAATCACCCTTTGACTTTCATTATATTGTTGTTAAAGTTAGAGGTCATCTATCTCCTTGTTTCTCTTTGTTTATCTCCCAATCCTATTCTTCTGCATTTTCTTCTCTTATTTTCTTAAATCCATCATGTTGATCTCCATCTTTCACTCTGGCTACTTCACAGTTGTTTAACTTTCTTATCACACGTAACCATGTTTCACATTTCCTTCATCCTAAACACTCATGGCACACTCTCTCTCATCCCTCATCTGAGTTTATACATACTGTGTAATTTTATTTTTACTTTGTGTATTGTCATTTTGTGTGTTTTCTCAGATGTGTGTACTCCTTTCCACCACTTCTCATTATATCAGGAGTGTCAATGAATGTGCTGGTTATTTTCTATGCATGCCATTGGCCTTTATATGCAGTATATGTGGCTCTACATATATATTTGAACACAAGCACATGTATGCCATCTGCCGGTATATGTATAATATGTATAATATGTATAATATATATGCTTATTCGTTGGGTTTGTGTACTTGCCCTTTCCTCTCTTGCACAGATTATTTCTCTATCCTTCTTTTTCTCTTTCTGCTCTCATTTCCTCTCCATCAGTAACTAATCAACGTGAGACATGTCCAATCACTGGTTGTGTGCTCTGGGTAGGATCAGGTTAATCTCTAGAATGGGGATAATATAAGCTAAACATGACAGGGTTGAATCCATGTGAAGATAATTCCATTCCCATAATTTCATATCAGTGGAGATGTCACATCCGCTGACAGTGGTGCAATAGAATTCAAACTGTTTTATTTTCTGTTAGGGCCATTTTTCCTTTCAAATTTCAGATATTGAAACAAATTGAAAAATAATTGATCAAATTAGGAAACGTATTCTTAACCACTCTAACAATTACATTTTTTTTTCTCTCTGCTCATTCAGTTCCAAAGTAATTTGCCTATGTTTCATACAGCTTATTTGTTTATATGTATATTGGCTCCTATTTTAACTTTACTTTCATTGTTGTCTCTCTGTAGCATTTGGTCAGAATGAATGTCATGATCCAGGTGTTCCTGTCAATGGTCAAAGGTATGGTGACCAGTTTCAGCTGGGCAGCTCTGTGGCTTTTCGTTGCGATCAAGGATTCATTAGGACACAGGTAAAAATCAGATTTCTGTCTGAATCTACTATAATATGGTATTATTCACACAAGTTAAATACAGATATGTTTTAGCAGTACTGGCATTATTAGCATGCATGTTGATATTAGATATAGTAGTAGGAGTAGCAGGTGTACTAGCTCAATAGTAAAATGCTACTAAATATATGATTATATGTAATTATCCTAATTTCTTATTTATGTTGCTCTTTTCAGTTTCATCTTACCTTAACATATTAACATACCTTAATACAGTACACTGATATCATATTTCCAGGGATCTGATCAGGTGACTTGCATCATCCAGGATGGAAATGTTGTTTGGTCTGCGGCTGTACCTCGCTGTGAAGGTAAACACACATACACACAGTTTACTGTATGTATGAGCAATGGGTAATCACTGGGAATGCTACCTTGCTTGAATATAAGGTGACAAAACATTCAACTATTTGCTTATACACCTTAGAAATTTTAAACTTCCTCTTCTAATTGCTTTAGCGTCCAGCCTCCCCACACTTATTCACCCTGTTTGCATGTGTCTGTCTCTCTCAACAATAATCTTAAATGAGATTGGCACAAGTTCTGCTGAAACTCATTCAGGCAGACACATTCATTAAATGCAGACTCTTATTTACAGATCTGCATCCATAGTGTTCAGATAATCTAATATGTGGAAGTAATAAGAAAAGGACAGTAAATGTGGTGTTATTTCAACACTTTCCGAAGGCAAAAGGCAACCACTTTTTGTATATATATTTTTTGTATCCCCTCCATCTTGATTGTGTCTAAATAACCTTATCATATGTTGCCTGTTGTTAATAAATGGGATGGAGGAGACAATCAAATGGAAAAGGATTGACACCTTATTAAATATGGAGTATGAACAGGGAAGGATAATTAGGTTTTATTTCTAGAAGGACCTTTTCTCGTGCATCCCGTCCATGAGTACCACCGCTTCAGCATGCAGGGTAAAAAAAAAATAAAAATTGAGAGAAGTGATATGCTTCAGCTTGCTGAAAATCTGGAGTTATGAGAGCAATCAAAGGGCGAAAGTATCAGCTGCTTGAGAACAGAAGAAGTGGTAAGAGTGTGAAAGATAATCCATTGCAAATTATATATTAAAGAAAGAGCAACGCATAATACACAGATCTTGACTTCTCATGCTCATACTGGGTGAATATCAAAGCTTATATAAAGGTATAAAGCATTTTTTTATTGATATGGAATCTAAACTCAACTAAAGCGAATTCTTGCATTTTAATGTGCCATAATTGTGAGCATAAGTGTTGGCTATAAATAATTTCTTGATGTGCCAGCTTTCCCGCCTGCAGCCTTCTGAGTTGCAGGCAAAGGAGGAGCCATTTTTTGGCATCATTCGACACATAAATATACTTGATTTCCCCTATAAACGATCGAGCTATAATTATTTTACCCTTTTTCAAACATGAGCAACTCAAATCTGTTTACTGTAGCACAAGATTGGCACAGCGTATTTTTTAAAAGGTAAATGTTTATATATGAAATCTAGAAATTCAGAAAGGATTAGCTAAAATAAATAGAGCAGATGATGAATTTGCTAACTTGATGTAATATGGGCATTGTGCTCATGCTACAAGAAAAAATGATTAATTCCTCTGTGTCTGTGTGTGTGTGTGTGTGTGTGTGTGTGTGTGTCTTCCATAGCTCCATGTGGAGGCCATCTCACTGCTCCAACTGGTGTTCTGCTGTCTCCTGGTTGGCCCTCCTTTTATAAAGATTCTCTCAACTGCCAGTGGGTGATTGAAGCACAGCCAGACCATGCTGTGAAGATCCACTTTGACAGGTAAGTGATTCTTATGAGTTGGATAATATAGTCATGAATGTTGGCATTTTACACATTTATTTTCATGTGATGTCCTTTTTCTAAATCAGTTCCTACTGTTTTTGATGATTAAAATTATAACCAGGAGAACTCAGGAACCAACTGGTTCTCAGGGCTCTGCAGCCAATACTGTAGGTAATTGCTCAGTCAGTCAGTGAGTCAGTTAATCAGATTGGAGTACAGGCAGAGATAACAAGTCAGTCGATGGTTCAGCTAGTTAGTTGCACATGGTGATGTTTATATAAGTGCACAGTTATTTAAATAAGCAGTTAGAATGTGAGTCAACCACTTTTGTAAGTTAGCATAGCATATTGCATGACAGGTTTTCAATCTGTTGTTGTTGATTGTTGACTGTGCATACAATGCGTGGCTTTAATGAAATGAACAATGCCGCTGTGTCCCCTCCCAGCATAAACACCCTGTTTATTATTTTAACATAATTTACTGCTGATTGCAAACAAACTTTTGCTCTTAGTTTCATTACATTAGCTAGTGTTTGAGGTATCCTGGACACAGGCCTTTGTTACCTTGCACACTGATGAATGTTATCTTTGTGTATGCCAGGTTATTGTACATGTTCTTCTGTTTTTTGTTTTTTTTGCCTGTGTGTCTGTCTAGGTTCCAGACTGAGGTCAACTATGACACACTGGAAATCAGGGATGGCCCCTCAGCCTCCTCTCCCCTGATCGGTGAATACCACGGCACTCAAGCACCTCATTTCCTGATTTCCACGTCCAACGTCCTGTTCCTGTTGTTCACTACAGACAACAGTCGCTCTGCAGCAGGCTTCAGCATCAGATATGAAAGTAAGGCTGATTGACTGACTGATAGAAATGGTTGTTAGACACACACTGGATTGCTTGCAGGAACTCATACATATCAATAATTTCTTACTCAGTGTTCAAACCAGCTTAAAAAGGTGTAATTACCCACACACACATACACGTTCCCCGTCTTGACTCTGTGGTATTTGTGCTTGTGTGATGTGATTTTCAGGTGTGAAAATGGAGTCAGACTCTTGTCTCGATCCCGGTATCCCAGTCAATGGTCGTCGCTATGGCAGCAGCTTTTCCATTGGCTCCCGTGTCTCATTTACATGTGACCCAGGATACACACTGAGTGATCAGGAGCCCATTGTTTGCGAGCAGAATCATCAGTGGAGTCACGCTCTTCCCAGTTGTGATGGTGAGAATCTTTCTTTCATTCGCCCCCTTGATGAAGACCTTGAGTGGGCTGAAACTTTTTGTACCTTATTCCAGAAAGAATAAGATAATTTGAGGAACCCATTATTATTATAACCCCCGCTTGCTGGAATACGTATCAAATGGAGTTTGAAGTCCTCTAAATACAGGAAAAAGTTGTCATCAAGGAGACGTTAAAGTCAGTTACACTGTCAAAGAAACAGAAAAACCGATGTCCAATACAAACTGGCACAGCAGGTCACTGTGGTCAATTTGTTCCTTTACCTCAGCGGTCAAAGCCCCCTTTTTGCTTAAAACAAAAGAAAATAGCTGAAAAGAGACTTGTAAATACACATGTTGAAAGCTATACTAAATCTTGTGCTTGGCAAATGAAGTAATCTTGATCTGAATTTAACCTTGGACCACAAAAAGGGTGTGTGATTGATTATGTAAGCTTTAGTGGTGATGTTTTCATTTTTCCAGCTGAACACTGCAGCTAAGAAAGTGTAGGTACATGTTATTATTGTGGTAATTTGGAACCCCTTTTTATCAAAATCTTTTATTTATGCTATGTATGTGAATGTGTTATTAGTGAAATAAATGCAGCACTGCAGAATAAGATAAAGTTGCATCATCCATTGGAAAACAGTTAATTTAGCTCTTTTCTTCAGGTCCGTCCATCCCTCCATTATTCATAGCTGCAGGTGGGTTGAACCTGTGCCAACTAACTCTGGTTCGGTGCACCCTGAACAGGTCTCCAGTCTATCAAAGGGCAGCCATATATAGACAGAAAACCATTCACACTCACACCTATGGGCTATTTAGAGTCACCAGTTAACATAATGCATGTCTTGGGAGCATCAGAAGGAAACACATGCGGGCCTCAATTGTTCCGCATGTTCAAATCCAGAACCTCCTTGCTGTAAGCTGAAAATCCTGATCTCTGTCCTATTCTCTTTTTTGGAAAATAGAAAATTGGACCAAACTCTTAAGAAACTTTTGAAAATATATTAAAATTTACATTTTTAAATAACTTTTGAAAATTATTTAAAGTAAATTGCCTTCTGACTTGTTGTAACAGAGTTGATGTTAAAATGCCAGATAGCTGTCACTTTGAACTCTGAGTTACCCACAACACTGTACTGGAACCCAAATACAAAGTCAAGACACAAGGCAGATGCAGTTAGAAGCCACTTTATATGGTTGTCAGGCAGGCTTACATTTGACAATAAGCAGACAGAATCTGGCAAAGAGTCACCAGTACTGCAGCAGTGTCATGCTCATTGGAAATTGTTTTTCGCAATTCCCTTTTGCAAGCCACCAGCTGTGTGTTTGTAATGTGCGAGATAAGTTTGGGGATAGGGAAGTGACGTGTAGTAGTTAGTTTGTTTATTGACTTCAGTATCGCAGTACAAACAAATGTACATGTTCAAATAAAAACATTAGGTCCAAGCAATATTCCACATACAATACAATTCTGACAGCGCATAAACAAAATCATTAAACAACATGATCTCAACATTTAGGTAAAGGATATGGCTAAGTGATATGTCTTCATCAATGCACACTTGCTGCTTGAGTGTTTTATAGTCCACGTCATTGTCCCACCGTGGAATGTGGAGTGAATAGGGTAAAGTGTCTGGAAGAAGGCTGAGCCAAAGAGTCAGAGGCAGAAGAATGGGGAGAGATAGTTGATGCAAGTGTACCCATCAGTAAATTGTTTCATCCATACAAGGAGATATATATATACAATCATTCCACTATCCAGAGTACACACTGCCACAATGGCCCGAGTTGGACATGCAGCCTCAGTGAAATTGTCAACAGGCACCACTAAAACAGATACTCACAGGCCTTCTGGTTCAGCATTTTGCCTCCAAATCACTGGAGATTAATACACAGCGTCTGATTCGATCTGCCGATTGAAAAGAATCCAATTTGAAAGCCAACATCAGAATGTCTCAACTTGGGAGTGAGTTCATACCAAAGCAATCTACCTCACAGTATCAGCCATGTAACATAAGCAGTTTTAAACGGCTGCTTTGACATTTTCAATTTTCTGCCAAGCATGCCATCTCATGTGTCTTACAATTTGACAGCTGTTACATTGCAAGACACATTATTTCAGAATGCCTCTTTTCTAAAACAGGGTGGAAATCTTGACCAAAGTAATGTTTTAGAGAAGATCCTGGGGCAAATTATATTATTATATTAAAGTATGTTTTAACATGTTAGTTTTGATTTTTCAGATCGCCATTGTCTTTATCTGCTCTGTTACTTGACTCTTTTCTTACCTACTGACAATTCCATATGTCCAGGTCACCTTATTTGCATGTGTCAGAGCTTCGGGCCAGAGCAAATGCACGAAAACACAGAGAAAACCTGCAAACTGGAGAAAGGGCTTAGACATGTCTCTCAATTTATAGCAGAAATGAAATCATCTTTAAAAACTCCCACAGCCATACTCAAATTAACTCATACACATACATTAACGCCAAAACTCTTATTTGTAGTATAGTCTCAGAGGAAGAGTTAACATTTTAACATGAAAAGCCTAACCTTTTTCTACACCATACACACTGCATTACACAGCCACCAAAATTCATTATTTTGACAATATTTGTCTAAAATAAAAAAATAAAATGACAGGTAGTCCTCCTGCAGGTGTGCAGAGACCATTCTCTTTCAGTAATGCCACACTGTTTGTTAGACCCAAACTGCTCATCTTATTCCTGCAGGTCAGCTAAATTGCCAAACAGATAATATAGAACACTGGCTGCTCTTTTATGTGTCAGGGAGAATATTGAAGGTGTGCTGTGATATTTTAAAGCTCGCAGTTAGTGCCAAGACGACAACTTGTTAGAAGTGACCAAAGTCACAGTATCCCTTTTATAAAAAAATGGCATGGCATCCTTTAAGAAGGAAATAATTAAAGATAAAGATAACATCGGAGGCAGGAAAGAGGAGGAGGAATTTAGCTGAAGTCTGGTATACTTTATTTACCTCTCCCCTCTCTGAAAAACAGGCTATATCTTTCTGCATCTGCTTTTCTTTCAGCATGCAGTCTGTTGCTTCTGTTCTCAACATTGAAGGCATCTTTTTGTTAGACTCATAAATAGTCTTTCTTTCTGTCTTATTATTTTCTTTTTCTTGCATCTTTATACAGCTCACACTTTCTTTCTCTCTCTCATCACACACACACACACACACACACACATTAATAATCTGTCTCTATCTTCTCACAGATAGATCATTCATACACACTATTCACTCGCGCACACAATGGCTAAAGTCAGACACGCACACATGCCTCCCTCAACAAGGGTCATTTAGTCAGACAGTGTCCTAGTTTTAGCTGAATCCTGATGGGAGTGTAGAAAAACTACTTCTGGTTACCACAACGCACAAAAGATGGCTAGTCAGAGAGAGAGGGGGAGAGTGGCTCTCATCACAGCTACTCAACTCCAGCTCTGTTGAAATATGATATGGAACGAGATGTAGGGAAAGACATTGATAGACAGAGAGATAGGGGTGGAGCGGCGGAGACACAGAAGCTCTCTACAAACACACACTGGAATAGCTGCGGTTTAAAGAAATAAGAGAAGCTTCGACATCAGTCTTTAAACATTTTAAATAATAAATTGTCATTTTATGAACCTTTTGCCAAATTAATCATCACACTGTTTATTTTAAGAGCTAAAAGGGACTTTTGTGCAACAAAATATATCTAAACCAATAACAACGAGAAAGAAGGGACATGTGGAAAAAAATGTTTTATTGTCTCTAATTCAGTTTATAATCTGGGTGTGTTTCTCATAGGTGAGAAAAACATTTTTATTTATTTCCATGACAGTCAAGCACCTTGAAGAACTTTAACTGAATGAAATTTAACTGAATTGAGATGAAGAGAATTAAAAGGGATGGATGCACAGTTATGCAGAGAAACAATGAGTCAATATATTATCTTAGTTCAACAGTCTCTAATGCACTGAAAGTCATCTTTTACTCTGGATTACATTACTACAGTTTTTTCAATTCTGCTCTTTCCCAAATGAATTTGTCCTGTTCCATATCAGTCATCCGACTCTGTGTGGAGGCTAGGTGACACACACACACACACACGCGCGCACACACACACACACACGCACACACACGCACGCACGCATCTCTCACTCTTTTTCAACAAACCACTCTTATTGTCAGTCACATTCTTCCTGCTCTATTTTTTTCTCTCTACGTTAAGTGCATTTCTATTTCTCTCTCTGTAGCTGTATGTAGAAGCTGCATCTTCAGCTGATTTATGCCATGGTAGCGACTTGTCAATCGCAAGGTAGCCACGCTGTAAATCCTATTTCATTTACTCTAAATGAGACCATAATTAACAAAATGAACATCATGCTGCATTGAAGAAGACTTGAAACTAGAAACTGAGACCACAAGCTCACCAGGAAAATGTTTACTGAGGTAATAAATCAAGTGAGAAGTATAGTCATTATCAGAGTCTCCAATGTAATCTGACATCTTTTTGCAACCACTGGAGTCGCCCCCTGCTGGCCCTTAGAAAGAATGCCGGTTTAAGGTACTTCCACATTGGATTAACTTTTCAGATCCAGAGATTCCCTCTTGGTTTAAGCACATTATTTAGCTGACCGGCCCACACTTTTACTGTTTCACTGTTAGCAGGCATCTGTTGTTGGTAATACAGCTAAACAAAAACACTATACAGTTCTTGTTCAGCACCAAACATCAGACAGGAACAATTAACGACTAGCTGGTGAACATAGTGAAGTATTCAGGAGCTTAAGAGCTAGATATTTCTCTCAGGAGTTGGTGGAGACCGAAAACAGAGATAAAAGAGAGTGAATATTGGACTGGTGCCAGGTTGCCGGAAACACGACTCAAATTTTATACTAGTGTTACTCTGTAACTTCTGAATGTGTAGATAGGCAACGACACAGTGCATTTCAACTGGGGATCATATGTCAATGATGTGTTCACAGTTTGCTTCCAGTGCATTCAAATTGCCAGAAAAATATGTTATTGCAGGCTTAAGAATAAATGCATTTGCTCAAAATTTGGAATTTGCGAGTCTGCAGATTAAAAAAAAAAAGCCAAATGTGGTTTAATTCCAGTCCATTAATTTAGTTTGGACATTTAGAGCAAAGATACCTCATTTTTTTCTTTACCTGAGATTGTACATTTATAAAATAGAAATTATTCTACCTTTCTTTTCTACCCTTCTCTGTCTGTCGCTTTCTCTCTGTAGCTCTTTGTGGAGGCTATGTCTACGGTAAAATGGGAACAATTCTGTCTCCTGGCTTTCCTGACTTCTACCCCAATTCGCTTAACTGCACCTGGACTATAGAGGTGTCTCATGGGAAAGGTAAGAACACATATGGTATACACAGACATAATAGAAACACCCATTAATTTGTTCAGGTTTTTTTTCTTCATATGTTAATAAACATGTTTATTTGCACATTTTGAAGATTGTTGTGTATTTACACTCTATATGTTGAGATATGTGTGTATGTGTTTCTGGTTTGGTTTCTGTGTTTCTGCCATTAATGTATCCGTGACTGTCTATCCATTCATCCATTCATCCATCTATCCATTCATCTGTTCCTCCACCCATCCATTCATCCGTGAATTTCCAGGAGTCCATCTGGTTTTCCACACTTTCCATCTGGAGGAGAACCATGACTACCTTTCCATCACTGAGGACAGCAATTTCCAGGTTCCAGTAGTTCGACTCACTGGCTCAGTGCTGCCCCCTAGTGTCAAAGCAGGACTCTATGGGAACTTCAGCGCTCAGCTACGTTTCATATCGGATTTTTCCATGAGTTATGAAGGCTTCAATATTACTTTCTCAGGTAAGAACACTGGAACAGAAACTTTTTGTTAATGTGAATGTAACGGACAGTAAATCAGACTGTTTAACTCTCTTTACAAGATTCCCTTTTTATCCAAACATAGGCCTAACTCTTCAGATCTGATTGAAAGGCGGAAGAGATATTATTTACACAGGAACAGGAACAGTCTTATTTAGTTATATTTTATCTGCTAATATGGTACATTGTGCTGCTTTACAAAGGCAGAGAGCAGCAACTGGAGAAACAGTTGACAAAAAAGGGTTTGTAATTTGAAGACCCTTAGCCAAACTGTCACCGATAAGTTATAATTAAAAATGTATGCCTTTTTAGGCTGATTAACATTGTATAATTATTGTGACAGACCTTACATAAAACTTTAAAACATTAAAATACTGCACTCTTAGCCCTGATGGGGACTGTTTCATCCACGGCATGTGTGATAGTCATAGAAGGTCCCATAGAAAAGTTTAGGGAAGACGCTATGTGCTGCTTGTTAACAGAGGTGGAGCAGTTAACCAGATCAGTTTGTCTTTATCCTTTTCCTTTGAACATTTCCTGAGCCCAGTTTTTTAAAAATGTAATTACTTTCTTTCTGTTTACCTTATATCACCTAGTCTTGGCTGACTAACAACTTTCACACATTCTTGTACTTTTTGCACTACTTTGTTCTTTTTATAATGACTCCTGACAATGTTATTTATTTGTCCCGGATCTACAGAATACGACTTAGAGCCATGTGAGGATCCCGGCGTTCCGGCATTCAGCAGAAGGATGGGATTCAGATTTCGAGTTGGCGACTCGCTGGCCTTCTCTTGTTTCAATGGCTACCGACTTGAGGGAGACAGCAAAATCACTTGTCTGGGGGGAGGCAGGCGGGTTTGGAGCAACACATTACCACGATGTATCGGTAAGACAGTCGAGCAGACAGTGTAGTGTCTACACAAATCAAGATAATGAAATAAATAAATAGAAATATTTTTAACATTCAGCCTATAGTTTTAGACATATAGTTGTACAGAGTTTGGGTAAATTATACTGTATTCTTTCCTTATACAACATTATAGTAAATAGTAACAAGCCTTTCAAAAGTATTTCTGCATTCAACATTTATAGCTTTGGAGTGGTTTATGTTCTGTGAACAAAACTGTCAGCTTGTAAAATAGAACTTTCAAATGATCATCTTCACCATATGAATAGGTGTGGAGGTAAAGTATCAGCATTTTCCTGGTTGTAATTCACCAGTGTTTTATTGCTGACACAATGATAATTTACTATTATTTGACTGGTTGACAGCTGGTTTTATTTGCTAGGATTTGGCCGTTAGCAGGTTGTAATTTGCTGGTATTTGATGAGTATCAGCGTTTCCTTGGATGCTGTTGGTAATTTATGAGAGTCTGACTGGTGGCTGCTGGTAATTTCAAGCCCCAAAAAGAGCAGACTGAAAATGCTATAATAGCATTATCTGTCAAGAGATCAGGCCTGACTAAGAGGAAAGTGAGCAACAGCAGCTGGCACCGTTCACTGGGTTTGTCTCCCTCTTTTTCTTTCCAAATGTGCCTCTCTTTAGCTCTCTGTCTCTCTCTTTCTAACTTTGTAACTGTGTCTCTTCCTCTCCCTCTGTATTTAGACAGTCCTCGGGTAGATAATTAGGGCATTAGCTGCTATATGAAAAGTGTTAATACTGTGTCTTTTGTTACTCCCCTTTTCCCTTTTCTAATTTCTCTCGGCATATTTTCAAAAGGCCCTTGTCTGTCTTGGTTCATCTGCCAGATTATTTTCTTTTCTTCCTGCTTCAAGCTCTCTGTCCATCCATTTCTTCTCCTGCTTCACTATCCTCTATTCTCTATTGTAGTATAGATTACTAGTAGTATTGTACACTGTCTTTACTTTCAAAACATTTTCTGAAGCAATGCTTGTAGCATCGTTGAATTTATGCTCCTTATCATAATTTTTAAAAACTACAGAAAATTTGATAAACACTGCATCTCGTTTTGAGTTCAATATAGTTCCACACTCTCCCCTCTTTTCTCCTCTCCTCATTTACATATGACAAAACCCTATTTGCACAAATACTACTTATTTGAATTCCTAAACTTTGATAGGCTAGATAATTCTGTATAATTTCTATGAATCACTTTTTTCTAACAAACTGATCTAGACGTGCTTTTATGCATGTTTTTCATTTTGCCCTCTTTTTAATCTCTGGCAGTTTGCGCTTAATTGCTTTTCTTTTGAATGTGTTTTGCTGTTCATCATCCTTGGTTTTATTGTCTTTTTTAAAGGACATTTTAGTGCTTTAAGCTTTGTTATACTGCATCATCATTATTGTTATCGTGTCTGCTGAGTTGAATAAGGTTTGTGGTCATATTGAATATGTACCTTTCCTCTTATCTCACATATTCATGTAGAGTTGTCCACAACAAGCTAGTTGACTGCTTAAACTTAAATAGGTAGAAATGATGTGATTTTGATCCACGCTATTCATGCCCCCTTTATTCTTTTTCTGTAGCGGAGTGTGGAGCCTCCTCACTAGGACCAGAAGGCGTTCTCCTCTCACCTAACTTCCCCTCCAACTACGATAACAACCATGAGTGCATCTACCGCATCACTACAGAAAATGGCAAAGGAATCAGGCTGAAAGCTGAGAGCTTCTCACTGCAAGATGGAGACTATCTCAAGGTATGCGCACACACTTGACAAGCTTTTACCAATCAGGTAGTATGAAATCCGTAAACGCATAATTTATTTACAGGTACACACACGATGCACACACAGGATTATAGTCATAACCAAAAGCTGTCTAAATGCAAAGTTGTATATACTCTGACACAAATATGCTTGAAAAGATTATCATGTGTTTGTGGTCTTTTATTGTGGCCAGCCTAAGGCACACCTGTGCACTACCCATGCTGTCTGGTCAGCATCTTGATATGCCACACCTGTGAGGTGGATGGATTGTCTCGGCAAAGACACATAGAGTACATAGTGAGTTCAGCTCATGATGAATGGGGGCAAAAACAGAAGTGTTGCGTTTATAATTTTGTTCTTCATATATAACAGAATGTAATACAATAGAAGAGAAATGTATTATTCACACAATGTGTAAAACTGCCTCTATGCCAGCTAGTATCACATGACTGAAGCCAAAATTATTTGTGTTTGAACAAATGCCCCAACCTTCAGTGCCTTTTTTGTTGCAAAAAAACACCATTTTGATTGATCATGTATGCAATGTCAGCTGTAATTTGGCGAGATGCACTTCAAGCGATACAAGCTTGATCTGCAATGTGTTATTATGGTTCTTTTCAGTCTGCTGGTGTCCCCACACATTGTAAGTTTTCACAATGTGTATATAAGGAAATCATTGAAGTGTTTACATATTATAAACTTGGATGTGCGTGCTTGTGTACGTCTGAACTACAAAGAGAATTACAGATGTTCCCAAGGCTCATAATTGCGTAAGTCCTCTCCCGGGTACGTGTGCCCACTTCAGTGTCAGTTAGGAGCAGCTGTGCGAGCTGTTTTACAGTCTTGACGCTGTCAGACATCACCTAAGACTTTTTCTATTCACAATGTCTCTTAGCGGTATTAGGCCTGTGGGCATGGTTAAGCCACTATGTGGTTAGAGTGTATTATCAGTATTAGGCCTAGAGCATTGACTGAGCCTGTCTGTGGTTAGATTGTATTAGTAGGGTTCTCCCTGACTTTTAGAGAGAAATAACGTGATTGTAAAAGGTGGAAAATATCCCCAGTGGAATAAGTATTAAGAAAATCTAAATCCCCTTGAAGGAAAGGAAATTCCCACGAAGATGGTTAACGTATCTAAACATGCTTAAATATTTCTTACACAATATATTCTATCACAGCTTGAATTCTGAATGCTTTACACAATACCCCCCCCCCCAATATGTCATTGTCTCAATTCAACAAAATTATTCAACTACCAAGAAGAGAGCAAAGGAAGGCATTTGCTCTTGTTCACTATGAATGTGTTCTTCATGAGGCATTTGACATAGTATTTACTGTAATAAATTGATTCCTTATCAGAAAATAACAGAACAGAGGAACAGAATACAGAGAATGACTCCAGATCACAAAAGTTAATGAGGATGCACTGGATGCTAACATAGCAATCAAAAAGTAATGGAAGGCTCCCAGACTGATTGCAAGAATGGGGCATCACATTCTACATAGGGCATATAACAATATTCGAATTTTGGTGCTTGCGATCGTAAATTTCTGATAACAATAACTTTTAAAATTAGATGAAAAGTAAGTCTGTGCACACACACTACTGGAATGATTAAATGTATACAATTGGAAAAGGAACATATTTTTAAAATGCCTAAAATTCCTTTGAATGTGCATAGTTATCGGTTTTTATCTGTATCTTTTGCAAAGTGCATACAGAGACCTCTCCAGATTTAAAAAAAAAGGGTGTAATTAATACGTTGATCTAAATTAATTAAAACTATTGTTCACTGGAGTATAAATACTTTTGAGCTAGATAATGTGTCCTTTGCTAAACTCTCAGGCATTTTTGCCACACTAGTGGTAAGGATAACTAAGGTGTCTCTCCATTTTCATAAATCCAAAGTTTTTTCTTTTTTGTGTGGAATGGGCATAACAGCTAAATGAGGCTGCAGCTGTAGCAGGGCTATTGACCTTTAGTCTCATAAATTATGTACTAAAAACCCTGTAAAATCAAGCAGTAGTGGCACTTTTCCACCTGAGCATCCATCATTTTAAAAATATAGTGTATAGTCAAAAATTCATTGCGTAAAAGTAAAACAATAATTATGCAACAGAAAGCAGGTGCTTGATGTGATGAAATTGTCTGTACTATAGTCATCTTGTGTGATGCTATAGAAATGAGCTTTTATAAGGGTAATGCCTAGTAATGTACAACATTTCTGTTAATCATAACTTTCCTGAAGAATTAGCAGAAAGCATAGTGCAAACTATAATGAACTGCAAGAGAAGCCCCAAAGTGCCACTTAGGCTGGCAATTAGCATGCCACTCCCCAGGCTAACCGTAATGGAGCTAATGCCTGTTACTGCAGCTGAACACAAACCATTTGTTTGACAGTTCCAGCAAGCTTTAGGCTCAAATCTCCTGTAACATATGAACCAGCTCATTACAATTCCTTTTGCTATTGGCTAAGTTTTCGCCTTGGTACCGTTAAAGAAAGGGCTAACCCAGCTCAATTTGCCCCAAAAATGTCCTCTAATATAGTGCTTGACCAAATTTACTCCAGTGTACTCCAGCCCTGAAGGAAAAGAGGGGATGAAAAAGAAACAATGTGGGGGTGCGCAGGAATTGTTCTATGAAAATAGAGGTGGTAGGAGAGCAAGCGAGAACGAGAGAGTCAGACAGACAGAAAGAGGGGGGGTGGCAGATGGTGACATGTTGATTTATGAGCCACAGGGCTTTTCATTAACCATACTGAGTCTTACTGAAACAGAGGGAGGAGGAAAGAAGGATGGAAAGAAAGCAAGGGAGAAACAGAAAAGCAAGATAGAAAGGTGCAAAATTGGGGAACACTGATGGATAGAACAGGAGGGGTTGGGGAGAGAGGTACAGGGAAGGAAATTAAGTTTAGAGGAGTGTGCTACAGATACAGACTGTGATGCCGTTCTTTATTTTTTATAAAGCTTTTGCTCTTTTTCACACTGTCCCATGTCTCTCTTCTTCCTATGTATGCTTTCCATCACAACCACACACAACATTCTGTAACTCCTACTTTGGCTTCTCATAGAGGTGTCTCCTCTCACTGGCCATACTTGTCGAGATAGAACAGCCTTAACCCATTTCTTTGGCATTCCTGCCACCTGCAGACTTGTCACCACCAATCTGTGGAAATGTCCGCGGCTGCCATATATAAGCATGAGCAGTTCACATTTATACCCCAGCTGTGAGATGATATTATGAGGTACTTCAGAGTCCTAATTCTCCCCTTCAAACTGCAGTCAAAAGTAGTTCCCAAACTACTACTTCTCTACTGTTCACATTAAAGATACATTCACACAGTTTTGACCACTAGACGGCAGAAAGTAGACTCCAAAATAAACTAGTGCCTCAGTATCACATAATTACCACTTGAAATTGTGTATATATATAATACATTTCTCTAAGCTCTTCTGCTGGATAATCCAATACTCTGCTCTCTATCTGTATGCTCAGTATGTTGCAAACTCCTCCGAAATATGGCTAAATACACAGTTTGGATCTGTTGCTTGCGCCGTTTGTTTTGTTGTATGGATCTGTGTTAGCTTACTTTAGTTCCGTAACGTAATCTGTTAACTGTGCTAGCTAAATGTGTGCACATCAGCCTTTCAGCTGGACACTGTTACACTTTGATGGCGTATGATGTCAAACTCTGCTCAACTTTCTTGTGTTGCCAAGTTGCATAGTTCTCTCTGGCAGTCAATACTCCACCCTCCACAGCTACTTGTCTCGCAGCGCTCATTTGAAATTGAACTTCCAGCTGTTTTGTCTCCTGTTTGTGCTACCAGCCCAATGGTGTTTTGTGTTGTTTTCTGTCTTCACACTTTACTCTCCTCCTATTTTCACCTCCTCTAATATGCATTACAGCATCTCAAACCGAATCACACACACATTAACTGATTTGCTGTTTTGGACTAAGTTAGTTAGCAGTAGATGATATGCATTCTGAGACTCATAGCTTTTGTTGGTGTTTTCTAGGAAACACTCTGTATTACTTTAATAGTTTTCTCTGTTAAAACGAATCCACTTTAGCATCATTTTTAAAAATATAAACAAAATTTGGAACACTTATCACAGCTGGAGACAAGCTCAACTGTGAATAAGCTACTTTTATTTTTTATTGAGGGCAGCAATATCCCCTCTGCTAATGTACAAATTAAAGTGATACTTAAATCTATTGCTTCTCACAGGTGCTAGACAATGATTAAACTGCAAAATTCAAAATTCTCACTCCACCACTTCAAGTTGTAAGGTTACCACTTTATTTACCAACCATGAAACCTCTAAACATTTTGTTTCTTTACACTCTGAATTGTTTTATAAACATATTGATGGTTTATCATAATAAATGGGAGGCTTCATCATTTCAGCTGACTGTTGTTGAGTCTCTTAACAACTCACTTGTGACCTCAGCAACTTTCATGTGATATTTCAGGCTCCATCTTTGTGGTGCTTCACACGGTCCACGCTGATGCAAAGCTAAGCAAAGTGGCTTCTTCATGTTTTTTTGTCTGGCTTGCATTGGTATTTTTTGGTGATTCACCGTGTGTTGTAGTGGAGAGATATAGGCAACACAGCAGTGGCCTGCAATTTTGGTTTCAAGACTGATTACATTGCCAGTCGTTTTTCCCCCTGGACCATGTCAGCAGCACTGTGCACCCATGTTGTGTGATTCTCATTACTTACATTAGTAGACATGCACTCGCATACACCTCTACAAAACCACACAAACCCTTAGCTTGGGTTTGTATTCATGTTCTGCGGTCCTGTTCCTGTGTTTTGATTGACAGGCGTTTGATGGAGAGAACACTTCATCCCGTCTCCTTGGCAACTTCACACATGATGACATGATGGGTCATGTCATCAATAGTACGTCCAATCGCTTGTGGCTGGAGTTCAACAGCAACGCCTCTGGAACCAGTCAGGGCTTCCGCCTCACATACACAAGTGAGTTGTTTTTAATTTAGGATTAACAGATTAGAAATGAGCAATTGATTGTCTTTTATATTTACTGTTACAGCCATGATTTGTTCAAGCATGGCCAAGGAAAGTGCCCTCTCTTTAGCTCTCACACACACACACACACACACTCTCTCATACACACACAAACACAAACACAAACAGTAATTTGCAAAATTTTGAGTATCTCAGGGTCCTTGTAAGGAGATGTTTCTAATTGAAAATTAAAGTGGTAGTGATTGTGTTAGATTGCCCTCATAAATATATCCTGTCTTGTGCCTCAGTCAAGTGATTCTTGAGTGCTACATACCAGAATACAAAATGTGTCATGTACTACAAAACTGTAGAGAGGACATTTTTTCCTTGATCAAATTACTAAGCTATTTCTTTCACTTCTGACAGATGGACCACAATCTCTTTTCTAAGCAATTTCTGTTGAAGGTGGAGGCCAGAGTGCTAAAGTAGTAGTAATAGTCTACCAAGCATACAGAAATGTGAATATGAATGCTTGAAACATACGTACATGCCCCCCCTCCCCCACACACTCACTCTCACACAAACACACACATACACATGTTAAAGGCGAATCTCTTAAGAAGGCAAGACCAGCTGCTGTGTAAGTCAAAGAGGCTATTAGAAGAGCATTTATCTGCAAGTCATTAAAAGAAGGTGAGAAAGTGACGCATCTGGAGTGGAAGAGCGGCTGGACAGAGGGGCGAATGGATGAAGGTAGATGGATACAAGATGGATGCTCGGTATGTCAGTCAAACCATTACACAGCCGTTAATCTGCAAGTCATTAAACTGGAGAAGGTGACACCTTCTGCAAAGTTCTGCTACAATGGATGAGCTGATGGACAGATAAGAGAGATTGATAGAAAGTTTAAACAGGGGAACGGAGAGAGAGAAGCATCCGATGAATAGAGGCAGGTTTCGTAAGGAAGGTCAAGGACTGAGTAGAACAGCTTTAATAGTGCACAGTGTGAGAGGCTATATTAATAGAGTAATAATAATTCAAACTTCTGTTCAAGACTTAACATACATTTAACAACAACAGAAGTGAGATGCATCTATTTTGCTGAAAAGGATGCAGGAAGGAATAGGCAGTCTTAGAAACACCTCAGAAAACTGTGGAGACAGCTCACTTAAAAAGTTGCTGGCTGTGTACAAGTCTTTATGGATGAGTAAATTGCGATTGGACAATGACTGCATTCTGAGTTTGTGCCCTAATTCTTCCAGAAATAACAGATAACAGGTGATGTTTTACATATAATTACACCATTCAGCAGTCAAGAGGAATGTTGGAAATTGCTGTCAGTCTAATCAAGTATTTTACCAACACTCTCTGCCAAAAAGACATTATTTCACTGACAAAAGCTCAGCTTTTAGAAGAATTTTGTTTATAGTCCATGGATGTTACTTTACATTCAGAATATGCGCTTGCAGTGTGGTTTAGAAGTTACATTAAGCTTGTTGTAAAATTGAGTTTTCAGTAAGTTGTTATGTCATAAGTGGGCTAATATATATACGATTCAATGTTCATTGTTCATTGAACTCTGATTTTTCTGATCTAAGGGAGGACATTCTGTTTTGAAGAGGCTGACCTGAGGGATAGAAAATGTGTTGGTGACATTGTCATGTCTTTGTTTATCCATTTGTCTTAAAGGCAGGAAACTTTCCTGTTCTTTGTTATCTTCAAAACACACAGACGTCCCTTGCAGTGTGTTCATTCAAGTGGACAGTATATTTGTGCTTGTGTGGGATGTGAAATTATCATTTGATGTTTTTCCACAGAACCACATTTTCTGTCCATAAATATAATCGCCTGTGCTGTTCACTGCACATCATGATACCTTTCAGAAAAGGGAGAATGCCCATATTTTGAATATCATATAAACAAGCATATGAAATCTGAAATGAAGTCTGAAATGTCCAATAGCTTTTCCTGCAGCTGTCACACAGGATTTCAGCATTAGCAATGAGTGTTCAAGAAGAGTACTATGACCTTATGTCCTCTTGTCCAGACTTGCTCTGAATCACCCTGTTCATTTATGCAATGTTGTCTTGTGCATGGACAGGAAGACCTAATCTTTACGTGTGTGTGTACCTGTCTGTGTGTGTTTCCCTCTATGTGTGTCTGTGGGTCTCTTTCCAGGTTTTGATCTAGTGCGCTGCGAGGAACCAGGTGTCCCTAGTTATGGCTATAAGATCCAGGACGACGGTCATTATGCCAACACTTTTGTCTTGTACTCCTGCAACCCTGGATATAGTCTCCATGGTAGCAGTACACTGACCTGTCTTAGCGGGGACAGACGTGTCTGGGACAAACCGCTTCCTTCCTGTATCGGTCAGTATGCCAACACATGGTTAGGATCTATGTACATCAATGATTCAGAACTACAAGATCTGAATTATTAACATGTTTCATACAATTCATTGAATAAAAATAGCAGGCAGAAGCAGTTGAAACTTGTGTCTGTAAGCTCCAGCATGAGTGTGCTGATTCAAAAGAGAGTGAGCGAGTGAACAAGTGATTGAGTCAGTACACGTGAATACTTTGAAAAGAGGTCATGGGGGCTGATTCAACACTGGGGGAAATATTCATTGTGGCGCTAATACATCTCTGTGCGTAAAAACAGCCCTTGCTGCTCCATCAACCTGTGCTCACAAGGCTATCTGTGCTTGGACAGCAGGATGTCACCGGGTATGAGATTTTAGTGCACCAGGCGCCTGTGTATTTTAAGGATGGCATGGTTAAGGTGCAAAAATAGGGGAGGACTGTCGGAATTGAACTTTGATAAATTTATAATGTAAGCCAGACTATTTTCTTGTACCCTGAAGGTGCACACAGTATTTTATGCCAAGGACTTTGACAGAAGCCTTAGCTTACTGTTCTATTCTCAGCATGCACAATAACTAGAATATTCTATCAGAAGCAGACTTTTTCCAGATGTCAGAAAGTGATGTGATGCAAAAACAATATTGATTTATCTGAAATTGTTGAGTGAGTGTATCTTTTTTGATACTGGACAACAGACTGGACTGAAAGTGCACCCAAAACTGATGACTGCATCCTTTGTTACTTTCAGAAGTTTGAATAATTGTTTTGCATGCTTTTATGTCAATATAGTAAAAGTAGTGGCAATAATTCCACAAATAATTGAAAAAAACTGTATCATCATATTCAACTCTAATCATGCATATTGCTGTTTAAAACACCCAAATGGTATGATTTTTATTGACTTAATAAGGATGACAGCTTATTTCTAATGTAAATGTCATAGTAACACATTTGGACATACAAGCAATTGTTAAGTTTTGAGAAAATTATTATAGAATTTTAATTGAAGCCAATGAGAACTTCCAGAAAGCATGTTGTAATACTCCACCATCTATTTGACTGTTGCTGTGCACTCCCACAATATCAGGTTTTATTTTTCAGACAGTGAAAATTTGGCATATTTAGAATAAATTTGAATATTTCCCAGGTTTGAGGTAGATAAGCTGCCAGAGGGCAGATTTAGCTTTAGTTGGCACTTGGCAGCTCTTAATTAGGTTGGAGAGGAGAGTGGCAAATGATTCACCTGCTTTGACATGGTGATTTTTTTCTTTTGCTCATGGACCTGTAAAAGTTGTTTTGGGTTTTACCTGCAATATGTACAGATGGCCATTCTGGTTCCTTATTGTCATTCAGCAGCCACCAGTGAAGCATGGACTTGCCATTTGTTTGTTTGTATTGTTCCTGACTAGCTTTGAAATCCCTAAAGCAAATTTTTAACGACCATAATTCCTGCTTGTTCATAAATATTTTGTGGCTTTGCATATTTTACAAATGAAAGCACTTTCCCTGTATAGTATTTCTACCTTGTTGGGTAGATGTGGGCACTTGGCACATGTTAATTTGGCCCTACTGCAGAGCCAAACTTTGTGTCTTTCTAACCTGCCAGCGCACCTGAGCTCGCTGAGGTGGGACATGGCCTGATGTGGTTGCTAATAGCAACTAGAAAGAATGTGGGTGCATAGGCGTGTGCGGTGAATGTATTTATGTGTATTTGAATGAGAATGAGTATACGTTTTTGGCTGGATGTGTGTGTAAATCTAAATCTTTGTGTGTGTCCCTGTGTACCTCTGCAGTCAGTCATTAATTTGTAGCTGCTATGTCCCTGCCTTATTTCAGGTAAGCCAGCAACCAGGAGAATACTTGCTGGCAGAGCCCAAGGCTAACTACCCCTATAGCTACCTTTGTATCTTCCTCCTTTGTCTGTCTGTTGGGGTGTTTGTCTTTCTGCCACTCTCTGACCCCTTCCCTGTCGGTTTGGCTCGGTCCCATATCTGCATGTACAAGCATGGAGATGAGGCGATGGCTTTGCCTCAGGCTGTTTCTATACCCTCTCTTTCTCCCACATGGAGTCGAACAGAGTGATGGTCTACCTCAGACGCTTTTTGTCATTCTCTCGTTCGCGATTCATACAGTAAACCTGTCAATCCTCTTCTCTATATGTGTGTGCCTGTTATTCTCCCTTTCTTTTTCTATTTCTGGAAATTGCAGTTATGTTGGCCCAAGCATACAAAATAACTATTTCTTTCTCTCCTTGTGTGTCTATGCCTCTTCCGTCTCTATCTGCTTTTTGTAATAAAACACAGCGGAGTAGTTGCCTTTCTTACTATATTTTCTATCTCCAGGGACTGAAACAATTGGTTATATTGTATGTGCTTGCATAATTGCATACATGTTTTCAAGTATGATTCTGGCCTTGTGTGTGTGTGTGTGTGTGTGTGTGTGTGTGTGTGTGTGTGTGTGTGTGTGTGTGTACATGTGAATGTGTAGTTGAGTGCATTCTGCCTAGGGTAATGCAACAGCAGTAGGTTGTCATGATATTGTTGATTGCAGAGCTGTTTTAATGGTGCCCTCTTAACTCACACAAACACACTAATATAAGCCTTCTCCATACAAAACTGTTGTCTAATCAACAGAGATCTCCTGGCTCTATGTGTGCCATGTACTACCATGATGAGTTCAAATCTGCTCCCAGCCTTTCTCCTGCTTCCTGCCAATCTCCCCTGTTCCTCACCACTGAAAACAATGTAAAAATAACACAAAAAGCCAGTTCTTTTTCTTGAACTTTGAACACTATAGCAAGATCCTTAAGGGAAAACAGCCATCAAAGTTATTCACCAACCTTGAAACTGTATGGCAGGGGCTTGGGTAATTCAAGGTTGATTTAATGATTCAAGCCTTTCTTAACTGATTCTCATTTGACTCAACCTTCACACCACAGAGTAAATTACAGCAAAGTAGAGGAGCCGCCTCTTGTGGAGATTAACTGAAATGTAAATAGAGTTGGAAAGAAAGCCTAGAAATATGATACAAATAATGTCGTTTAACTGAGAGTGGAGGTCTTCACAGGTCCATGATGCTGGACCTGATCCTAAACAGAGCCATGGGAAATCTACCCAAAACCAATAAGTTACTTTTTAAAAAGCCAGATCTGACAGGGACCTGAGCACAGTCAGACCTGATCAGAATATACCCGCGGATAAGTAGACCTGGTCCAAAATGTGATCAAGCCAGACAGAACCCAGAGAGCACCAACACCGGCAGCAACATTTTCCTCTAACAATTAACAAGCCACGAAGCTTGAACAGAGCAGCAGTATAATAATAGCATCCTTAGAACAAATATAAAGTCATAGAAACTAACTCCAAAATAATTTATTTATATGCAAGACTAATTTATAGAAATATTGAAAGTTATATTTTCTTCTCCTCCAATATTCTTTTGCCATAGCCATCTGGCCGATCAATGAACAGAAGGTAATAATTTTGTAACCTAGAAAATACCTGAGTCTAATTCCAGAAACAATATTTGTCATTTAAAGACAAACATTTTCCCAAAATGTTTTCTCCAGTGACGATGATGGCGTACAGTACCATGTGATCTGAGCTGATAGCGAGTACACCCATATCCATTTGGATCCACTCTGTTATTAGACAATGTTTAAACAGAGACCCGGAGAGCCATGGCAATAAGACCCTACTCTTCCCAATTAGTGTACGATTTTACTGTGGTTCAGCTCAGGTCATGGACCAGGTCTCTGTTCTGAGAAACTGAGGGAAGCTGTGAAAACCTTTAACTCAGAGAGACACTATAAAAGGAAGGACATTAACAAGTTATCTAAAACAAAAAGAGCAAGAGCTACTAAACCACAGAATTACAGTATGCCTTGTACAAATCAGGCTGTGGGGTAAAAGGACTGTGAAGTGGTGCACATTTATAGCCCTTCTTTTCTTTATTTGGTTACCTCATAAAAAGTTAAATCAATTTCTCCAGTACAGTCCAAATGTCTTTGTTGCTGGATTTTATGGCCGAGGTGGCTGCAAGATGCCAACAATATCTACTGCAAGGTTTGTAATTCATACTAACCTTGCAGTAGTCGTACATTGTATGGGTTTGCCTGTGATCCTTAATTTGGTAAGTTCCCAGTTTGCCCAGTTAGGTGTGTGCCAAGTGTGGTTTTGTATGTGTTTTGTTAATTTGGTTAAGATGAAAATGTGGTTTTATATATAAATAAATTTCTGACTGGATAGATATATTTCAATTATTAATACTTAGAACCTCAATTAAAAGAGGGGAAACAAAAGTATTTTATTTTATTTTATTTCCAGTTATGATAATTCCTGTGTCTTGTGTCCTTGTAGCGGAGTGTGGAGGTCACATAACTGGAGCAGTGTCTGGTCGGATTCTGTCTCCGGGATATCCTGCTCCTTATGACAACAACCTCCACTGTACCTGGACTATAGAGGCTGATACGGGCAAGACTATCAGGTAATTATGAAGAAGCTGGAAATACACTGAAGCCACTGAGTATGCTGATGGCCTACAGTTATCTGGAGTTGTTTTTGTCTTTTTTTGGTTTAACATTTAACAAAACTAGTCAAGACATGTTTTTCATATAATACGACATCATGTATACTAACAAGTATATGCAGAGTTGCTTTGCTCTGATCCTGCTAGCTTACTGGCTAACCCTATATTTGCTAGGAGCAGTAATACAGTAGTAGCATTATATAGGACAATTCCCACACAACAACATCTCTCACTCTACATGGACTACAGGTAAAGACTTACAAGGCTGTCAGATAATGATTATTCATAAATTATAGATAAATGTTTACTGTCAAAACTACTGCTGTGTAGGAGAGTACACCACATTAGTCATTATGCCACCATTGTGTTTCTCAACACAGTGTGGGCCACTGTTGACATTCCTGTTTGTGTGTGTGTGTCTCTGCATCATATTAGTTCATTTATCTATTTTTATTTTATTTTATTTGTTTGAATAAGGAACATGTGTTAATATTTGTTTTATAGCAATGATCTCCTGTATAATTTTCCATGTTTTCTCAGCCTCCACTTCATCGTCTTTGACACTGAGGTCGGCCACGATATCCTGAGAGTTTGGGATGGTCCATCTGGGCCATCAGACGGAGGGATACTATTGAAAGAGTGGTCAGGCCCAGCCTTACCTGAAGATATCCACTCGACTTTCAACATACTCACATTACAGTTTGATTCTGATTATTTCATCAGCAAGCAAGGCTTTTCTATACAGTTCTCCAGTAAGTATACTTATCTTTAAATCAGAATTATTAAACTTAAAATTCACATAGTAGAGGAAACTCTGAATGACTGGAAAAACTATAAAATGTGCCATAATTCTACTATATCACTGATTTGGGTGGTCTGCCCCACTCTACCCCCCAACATCCATTCATGAAGATAAAACAATGACTGAATTAGCAATTAAATTACCTAATTAACAAACTCAGCACTCATCACACATATGGTTTCGTAGTTATTATATAAACCTCATTTATATTGGCAATAAGGGAATTAATTTAGAATTATTGCTGCATTTAACAGGATTTCTGAAAAACCTTTAGCCAAAGAATCAAATGAGAAACTTAATAACTCACCCTGGGACCCAGGCTCACTAAGTACTAAAGGAGCCCACCAGAGACCTGTGGCAATGTTTTGGTCGTATCCCACAGTTAAGGAAACCAGGAAATGCACTACCAAAACTAGGAGTGATGATTCTACTTATTTTACGGCATTGTGAAATGTTCAATTCTTTGAAAGATAGTAGTTTTGTGAAATAGATTAATATGAATAATAACATAAATACATGCTATAAATCGTTTTTTAAAGCTAATGAATGGTTCCAGCCATTTTACTGGTTGTGAACTTGTAAATTGAACAACTGTGAATCTCAAAAATCTCTTTTTTGTAACAAGATTTTAGTTTCTTCATCATACTCTCTCAAAGAGATGTCAGTGAACACAAACTATTGCTGCGGTTCCCATTTTTTTTTAAAGAAAGGGCAACCTGCACAATAACTGTGCCCTTTGGGTGTAGAGATGGCCTTTGCTGTTTGAGCCACTGGACCCAAAAATGCCTGTGCACTGTCCCCTTCGAATCATTGGCCAAAGTCACTGCAATCCACAGTGGCAGCAAAATCAATCAGAGGCACGCTGAGTAAGAAAATTTAGGAAGCGGGAGAACAGGCAGTTAAGACCATCTTACCTTTACAGCTGATTATTCACATTAGCACACACGCACACACACACGTTTACCTATCATCTTTACCTAGCCATTTATTACCAACACAAGTCTTGCATGAGCCCATACACCTCCACCTCCTTGCTCTGTGGTTCATATACATCTACATACATAATCATGCATACACACAAATGCCAATTTTTAGTCATAAATATTTACAGCCAATGCTTTTTGTCTCCCAGCCTCTCTCTATCTCTCTCAAACATTTAATTTTTTTCTGTTCTCCCCATATTTAAAACAATAAATATTTGCACTCACTAACTAACATTATAAAGCACCGTTATTCCATTATTATGGTAATGACTCCTTATATTTACCTCAATGTTGATTTACTAAAGCAAAGGTAATGGTATTTACCACCACACTTATTTATTTAAAGCAAGGTTTGTGGATTTATTAAGAGTGGCTTTTATTGCTTTTTTTTTCTTTTATTTTGTCCTCTCTGTGTCCCTGTCTGTCCACTGACCTGATGGAAAAAACACTGTTTTGTACTGGAAATATATAATAAACTTGATGTTATAATACTATATTTGGCCATACATAATTTACACGTTCAGTGTGGATTATGATACAATAGACTAGCTGCCATGTGCTCATGTTCTACTCATTTTGCCATGGCTCTGGCCAAGATTACATCTATAATTTCCACTGAATCTGAAGATTCATGACTAATTGTTGAGTCTACTGTATAATGAGGATTGAAGTGGTGGCAAATGCTGTCTTGTCTGTTCTTTGGCAAATGACGTAAGTGAGTTGTTCTCAACCTTCTTTTGCTTGTGATCCCTAAAAAAAGAAGCAATGTCTTCATCTAATCTGTCAGCAAGAGTTGCATTTATCTATGAGTTATAAGCAAATAGTCGCTTTGGATAAAAGCGTCAGCTAAATGAATAAATGTAATGTAAAGTAGACCAATGCCCACTTTTATATAAGAGGTCTGAAGGAGGTATTATTATGCAGAATAAATATCCTTTACATTTAATCAGTCTTTAAAGACTGATTGATATGACGTAAACACTGCTGTATATTTAAACACAACTGCAAACCCAGTAGCTGAAATCCCTACACACAGAGGCTGATTGTCATGAATCCCTACCAAGAACAATGCTAAACCTGAAGGGAGAGCCACTAATTAAAAAGGAAAAAGACAGCACCAGGCTAAATTTGATTGATCCTGGAGGGACAGTCTATTTAGTTATTAACTGGTGTGGATGAGTTTCCATATGTATCTTCAATAATAAATAGAATCATTTTGTTAGTTATTGTAAGTATGATGACAGAATGCCCCATTAGTAATTAATACCCCCATTAGTAATCATATGTCTATATATTATAAAGTATGTTTTTGTCTTATAGCTGCCAGCGACAATAGTAATGTTGTGTTTGTGTGCATCTGTCTCAAAGCCTCTCTTTCTATTTACCAACTGCAATATATAATGACAAAACTTCTCTCTTTTTGTCTGTTTCACACTCAGCCACTACAGCAACAACATGCAATGACCCAGGCATCCCTGTAAATGGTTCTCGATACGGGGACAGTAAGGAGCCTGGTGACAGTATGACGTTCCAATGTGACCCAGGCTACCAGTTGCAAGGCCAGGACACCATTACATGTGTACGGATGGATAACAGATTCTACTGGCAGCCTGACCCTCCAACGTGTGTCGGTAGGTGTACGTTACTCTGTGGATCACTGACTGCCAAACTGAGATTAAATTAAATGACAAAATGTTCTAAAAGAGGATGATGAGATAATGAGTTGCATCTTTAAATGTCTTGTTGCACACTAAATAATGAGGACTAAAAATGAAAAAGGCAGTAGATATTAAGATTTTAAGATTCGGTCAATCAGACACTTCCACGATCCGTGTTAATATGTCAGACAATGGAAGACTAAACACAAAACTTGAGACAGATACATAGATGGATAGTTAGTTAGTTAGTTAGTTAGTTAGCTAGTTAGTGTTAGCATACAAACAGATTAAAAAACAATAACAGACAGTAGCGATGAGTTAAAAACAGACAAATAATAAATAAATAAGATAAATACAGAAATAAGTAAATAACATGATGAATGAATGTGCTAACAGAAACAGTGCCATTAAAAAGTGCCAATAAAACAGTTTGAAGGAGTATTTCACCGACCCTTGGGGGAGGATGGGTAGGGAGAGAGAGAGAGATAAAGAGAGTAGAGAGGCTGACTGGTTAAAAAGTCTGATGGCTTTGGGGATAAAGGATCTCCTGAACCTCTCAGTCCTGCAGAAAAGCAAGAAGAGGCGTCCACTGCTGCTGCTTTTTTGGTCCACCAGGATGTTGTGAAGGCTGTGACAGGTACTTCTCTGGAGGCAAATCAAATGAAGCCTACTGGTGAGGTGATCTCTAATCCCAAATGATGCTGCTGGCGCATCAGATGGTTTTCCATGCTACAGGCATGGTCTTTAAGATCATGGAGAAGTTGTACCAGTACTGAAAAAAATGTGGTTGGCATTGAGCAAAGTTGCTGTGGACCACACAGAAATTCAACATGGGTCACCAAAACCTCCTAAACTCCAAGGTGGGATGGTGACCCCGTGGACAGGAGAAGGTTGGGGAAAAAAGTGAGGTCATATTTGTAACATCACAGAAAGATGCAGGTAGCTGTGATAGGGTTCCTCTATTAAAACTACTGAAAAAACAGAGCTTGTTTGCTCTTTTTTCTCTATTAACACCACCATCAGACCCACCTGCTGCTTATAGCCTAGCAAGCTTCCACATTCCACTCCACACCTCATTCACATAATTCTGCTGCAGTTTGTTTTTCATTTTCCCACTTTCCAGTGTGCTTCCCTCCTTTATTTTCTTCCTCAGCTCCTTCTGACACACTTGACTTACTCACTAAAGGAAAGATGTGACTTCTAGTCCTGAAGCCATTTTTTTGAGTCATAAAGCAGGAATAGCAGAGTCAGTGCAAAAAAAGATGCAATCTGTAATGCAGCAAAAGCCCCTCAGTGTCCTCACCGTACAAATCCCAGTGTGTTAGTGCAAAACAAGCCTGTAGCACATCCATAGATTTCTCTTACCCTGCTAGAAGTCGGCTGCTGCTGAGCTACGTTCCTTTTTCAAAATGAAAAATGCATAAAGTTATTTTTCCATGATTAACTGCCGCATCCAATTCAATTTTGTCTTGTACTTGAAATATCACATCAACTTAGTCTGAGTATATGGATGAGGAAAATCACCAGATATTACCATAAATGTATGGAAGCCCTGAGAGGCAAGTGAGGAAAAAAAAATCCTGATGATCAATTTTCCACAAATTGTGAAAACAGGTTAAAAAAATTGTCAGGATAATAATAATAAAGTGTTTGTTGATAGAATGCTCATTTCAGCCACAAGAGGCTATGGCACCGAATAAAAAACATTTTTAGCTAAACAAAAGACATAACAGTGATGTTACCTAACTTACTAACACAATATAAGTTTACAGTGCATAGAGGGATAAAAACTTTCCTGGAAGGAAACACGAATGCTTTTATGGTGCTTTTGTGGTGCAGTTCAGGGGCTTATGGCTGAAATGAGTATTACAATGCAAACTTATCCTCACAAAAAAATGTTTACACCTACATTTTTTCCCCACCTGTTTTTAAAGATGAAAAAAAAAGTAACTAGCTTACTTTTAAAGGTCCTGGCCGGCTGTATTTTTTAATTATGCAAGGATGAGATATGACATCATACACAGCTGAAGGTGGGATGGAAACAGTGTGAGCAAATTGGTGATTCTTGCAACAGGTAGCTTGCTGAGCTTGCGGTAAAGGACTACAGACATTTGCCTTGCTGTTAGATGCCACAGCCTTCCTTTATGTTGCCTTCTCTTTATCAGCCAGCACTATCGGGAAGTCTTCCAGTACAGACACAGAGACTAGTAATTTGCCTTGTTACTATGCCTGGGAAACACATTATGCTTTGTTCCTGATATTGCCTCTGACTTTTTCCAGTGACCTCATGTTTTTCATGACTGTAGATAAAATGTTGGGCTTAAATCTCCCTCTGTTTTCTCTTAGCTTAGCATGTGTGCACTTCCCCCTCCTGCACTTACAACTCAGTTAGGGAATCCCTGGGTGTTCAAAAGCTCCTAAGATTATACCAACATTATACACAATAGTCTAGTGTGTAAGTGTGCATCTGTCTGTGAGTGATTTGTAACTGTTAATGGCTTTGTTTACCTCTATTTCACTGTTGATAATCCGTTCACACCCATCTGCCACCCCCAAGGCACCCTCCATGTTTCAAATTCTTCTCCTTCACATCACCAAATTGCTGCTTGAATGCATCTATCTGTTTCTCTTGCCAATATCTCTTTGCTGCACTCTGGCTGGTTGTGGTATAACAGGACCGCAAGGGGTGATTCTCTCTGCTAACTACCCCCAGCTTTCACTCCGTGGCTAAATCTCAGTTTCTCTTTTGCTCTTTCTCCCTCTTCAGCTACCTGTGGAGGTAATAACAAAATTCCATCAGGGGTAATTTTCTTTCTCCTAACCAACCCCTACTATACTTCCCATCATTAACTAACTCCTTTCAACTCTGCCTTCCAGTGGGGGTTATATGAGTGGTCAATCAGGGGTGATTCTCTTTCCAAATTACCCCAAGCCCAATGCTAATCATTTCTCTCTCTCTCTCTCTCTCTCTCTCTCTCTCTCTCTCTCTCTCTCTCTCTCTCACTATTTGTCTGTCTCCAGCAACATGTGGGGGTAATGTCAGTGGTCCTTCAGGAGTAATCCTGTCCCCTAACTACCCCCAGCCTTACCCCGCTGGGAAAGAGTGTGATTGGAGAATCCGAGTCAACCCTGACTTTGTTATTGCTCTCATCTTCAAAAGGTAAGCGAACAAAATTCAAAACATGGCTCTGTATATGTGTGTACATGACCACTTGTATATACTATGTATTTTTTTCTCCACTTTTTTCTCCAAATTGTCACAATAAGCCTGCACAGTTTTTCAGCAATGATTTCATAATTTAGAGTTTCCTGTGGGAGTTGGGACTTTCCTCCAGTATTTGCTGTATAAAAGTCTGCCCATGTTATTTTTGGTGGAGGACTTTGCTGCAACATGAGAGCAACAATTACATAAGCAAAAACTGTAATCCCTCCACTACAGTGTCTAAATATAAAGCAAAGTAGCTAATTAATTAATTAATTAATTAATTAATATTAATGGTAGTTAAACATTTGCACTAAAAAACATGACTTGTCCGTGTCATATTGTTACAATAATAAAAGCAGGCTACTGCATGCTGAAAGAAACAATAACTGTCATGACAGAATTTTAATTGTGTGTATCCAAGTGTATACAAGTCAAGTCAGAACTCTACTGTAAAATCCACTTCTAACATATCTGAAGTAGCTTATTTGTTAGTTTGTGGTGAGATGATCTCATCTTTAAAAGCTTGACTGGTAGACATCTTTATTTTTTTGTTTTAGTTTATAAATCACGGTGAGCTTGGCTAGTAATTCCATATGCATCCTTTGTTTTGGACATACCATAAACTGATTTGTTTAACGCTAATTATTATCTAAACACTATATGTTGGCAGATACACTATTCTTGCCTTGATTTGGAAAGTAAAAGTAATGTGTAAATGAAAGGGATTTCTGACCATGTCTGTGTTTTGTTTTTTGTTACTAGGGCAGTGTTTATTTACATTTCAAGTCCTGATTGTGCCTCAGTGGTGACAGTGTCGCAGTGGTTAGGGGCTTATGACTAAAGCAAAAGTGAAGATTGGAGTTTCACATGTAGCAAAGGAGATAAAAGCAAAGTGGACTTTCTCTAGATTGCCAAAGGAGAAAAAATGACCCAATTTTGGCTTATGTTTTTCAGCTGGATAGATAATTCCCTTCTGTTCTAACAGTGGGACAGTTTTTAATTTCACTTTTTCTTAAGTTGTATTGATATTGGTTGTTTTGCGAATGTTGTGTATAATTTTGTTGTCATTATTTATCTAATTTGAACCTAAAAACAGAGCTGGATAGACTTCTATTGGCCCAGTTACTAGTAACTCAAGTCTTTGAATCAGTACAATTTGTGTTTGTCCAGTGAAGTCAGAATTCATTTTGTGGTGTCATGTAATGGTCTTTTGAGTGTCACACCCAACTGACCTTGTTTTGTAGTGTACTGTCTACTAATTACTTATAGTCAGTCGAAAAGCAAATACATTTGCATTCTTCTTCTTATTAGAGTACTGACTGTTTTGTGGCTTTATCTTCCAAAATGTATAATTCATTACTAAACAAACTAAAAAGCACCCTCTCAAGTTTGCATTATTGCAATTAATTTGCATTGAGAGTCTTCACTGTTATCAGACCCTTTGTGTTACTTATTTGTTCTTCGGCCATGACAGGTTATGATGCTGCCCCATTTCTGCTCACTGAGATCTTTATGTTCTTGTTATGACATTTAGTAGCTTTACCATTCAGACCCAGAATGTATCACTAAAGCAAAAGGTATTACCACGGATCATTTTAATGCTTTGTCAGTGCAAAAGGGGCTTATGTGTAGTTAAGCCTATTCTGCACCAGATATAAACACAGTGCTTAAACTTGAGCATTCTTCACACTTATTTTGACTTTGGTAATGATTACATAAGGGTTTTTTAAGTTTAATAAGTCCTCTTCAATAATAAAAAATAATTTGAACCAAATGTCACACACAACACCTTTCTTTCACAATTGTCTTTATGTGTATTGGAGTAAAGGTTAGAAGAAGAAGACGGCACATGAGTGAATAATCCTGTAAATTTGCCAGAATAATTTGGCATTTCTGAATTTCTATAACTTAACATCCCAGTTGAATTAAATGGCAACCATGTTCATCTAAATCTTAATGTTGCTCTACGGCACCCCTGGTGCTTAAAAATTGCACAGGGTACCTTTATGCTAGTTACCAATACTGCTACACTTTAACATACACACTGCTCTCCTCTTTCTCTCTTCAACTCTATCTTTCTTTGCTCTGACAAGACACAAATATAGACACACAGTAAAGTCACCTGACTCCTAGTCAAACCTTGAACAGGCTGGTTTAACCACACAGGCGAGAGACAGAGCTAATATATACATATTCACACTACAATGTGTGGGTGTGTGTGTGTGTGTGTGTGTGTGTGGGGAGGGGGGGGGCATGTATGTACGCATACAAATTTGTCTCTGTGTGACAAGTAAGAGACGAGGCTAACACAACTACTGTCTGAGCAAACACTGTTGTGTGTGTGTCAGGATACATATTTATGTTAGGGTCACACGCCTGCTGAAGATATAAAGATCAGAATAGATCAAGACATGCTCTTTCCCGATGAGACAACAAGATGATGTTCAGATGACGCAGCCTTTGTAATTTTCAAAAGTATCAATGAATCAATTGTTTTGGATCATATATTGCTGTCTTAAATTCAAGAAGAAATTAAAAAATGTTATGCACTAAACACATCCAGCATCCATGTCAAAATGAAATTTAGAACATTAGCAGATTATTAAAAGAAACTAATTTATTAAATGAAGCAGGTATTTGAATTTAATCACTGGATTCATTGTTTGGAGAATATGAACATGCACACACACAAGAAAACTAGCATCAATCTTGCTTGATTGTTAAACCCAAGTTTCTCTGTTTTGTTATCTCTTCTACTCCAGTTTCAACATGGAGCCAAGTTACGACTTCCTGCACATCTACGAGGGTGAAGATTCTAATGGGCCGTTATTAGCAAGTCTCCAAGGCAACCAGGCCCCAGAGCGAATAGAGAGCGGTGGTAACAGTCTCTTCCTGGCATTCAGATCTGACGCCTCACTGGGCATGTCTGGGTTTGCCATCGAATATAGAGGTAACTAAAGCCCCAGACAGTCTACGGTGCAGCCTATATTTCTACAAACTAAGTGTTGTAGTATCACAAGCATTAGATCACTGACATGTAGGGTGATTTTGGAGACAATACAGCTTATAACAGTAAAGTTATTGAAGATAGAAATTCTCCTAGTGCTAAGTATCACAAGCAGGATATCAATGATTTGTGGGGTGATTTTTGAGACACTAAAACTCAGTGAAGTTACTGAAGAGAAAATTTTTCCAAAATTATGCGAAACAATATTTCTACAAACTTAGTGTTGTAGTATCATCAGCATGATCACTGATACCTGGGGTGATTTTTGAGACACTACAGCCTTTGTGAAGTTAGAAGACAGTGAAGTTATTGAATATTGAAAAGAGACGTACCTAATATTAGGTATGCAAAAGTCTTTTTTACCCTAAACAAAGTGTTGTAGTATAACCAGCAGTATATCATTAATGTCTAAGGTGATTTTGGGGGCACTATATTGTGTAAGTGTGAAGTTATTGAATATCTCTGCAGAATGTGTTTTCGGTGTTGCACTTTGTAGACGGTCCCTGCGCACTCGTCTCACAGCCGGCTGCACGTAGAGACCAACGTCATTTGTTCTGCTCCTAGGAAGACTCATTTATGTGAAAATGTACTTGTAGCTCGTTGTCTACTTAACTACGATAATAAAGAGGCGTCGTTTGTGTTTTAAACACGTTTTGCTTACAAGTTATTGATCCCATCTTATCTCGTAATTATGCCATCTTTTCTCGTAATTATGACATCTTTTCTCGTAATTATGACATCCTTTCTCGTAATTATGACATCTTTTCTCGTAATTACGACATCCTTTCTCGTAATTATGACATCTTTTCTCGTAATTACGACATCCTGATCTCGTAATTATGAGATAAGGCTTCCAATTTTTTTTTCTTTGGTGAATGCAATGCGCTTCCGTAAGAAAGTGTCCAAAGTATGGGATTATTTCAAGATAAAAGAAAACAACAATACTGTAATGTTACAGTCTGTCCACCGTAAAACGTAATATTACTGCAACAACACGACGGCAACTGGTCAGAAAGCACCCGGTGTTCTGCCAGCTGACCACAGACAAGGTAACAGGAACAGCAACTTTAGCGTTTAACTGAAATCATGATTGATTGTTGAGTTGAAGGCTAGCCAAAGTAAGCCACAAACCTCAGCTGAAAATGTACACATGTGCGTTTGTTGTTCTTCTGGTTGGGCCGCGAGTTTGGGTTGTAATGTCACACTTGTGAGTTTACCGAGTGCCGGGGAGTTGCACGTTAGTATTTTGTATATCACTCGGGTGATGTTTGTGTTGGTAAAGCAGTTGTCTGTTACTTCTTAAATGATGCATTGATGAATCGATTAAATAATCTATAGAAGGTTCGAGTTCTAAAATCATCGTTAGCTGCAGCCCTACATACCAGTTTGTAATGTTTTTATTCAGAATGCTTTCTATAGTACCAGCTCGCCTCACCTCCACTTGACTTGCCTTTGTTTGGTTTTCCATTGCGGAAAAGTTGTACCTGTACCTGCTTCTATTCGTATCACCTCCGTCAAGGTTGCAAGCGAGCTGAGGCGATACTAAAAGGTGACGTGAAAACACAGCAGATTACTGATTGGTCAGAGAGAATCGTCACTATTCCCTGCGTCATCATTGTGCGCACCTGACAGAGGCCAGCAACAGATAGTTTTATATTTTACAGTTTTCATACTTTTTAGGTTTTCATACAGTTTTGAGGTGAGAAATCAACTGTGTAGATTTTGAATATTGACAGTTTTATGAAAAGTGATGGCGGAACAAAAATGTGCTTGAAGGTTTCGGAGTTGAGAAGCTCGCAAGTGGCTGCGGGGGAAGCCTGTGCCAACCCGCGGGAGTAGCGTGTGAGGCCGGCCAGCCGCCCGCTCACAGAGCCTTCTGCTCCCGCCATCACACAGACCGCTGCAGCAACAACGGCAGAGGAAAACACAGCTGAAAGGTTTTCATATCGCTTATCTGTCTTTACATTCTGAGGAGTTTTGAAACGTTTTGCTTAAATAAAGAGAAAGCTGTGTGGATCGCTGGTGTGTGTGTGTCGCGTTGAACATTATGTTGCGGCAGTTGTGTGGCGTCGCTATGACGACCAGGGGTACTATTTGCAATGGGAAACGGAGCACGGCCAAACCGAGGTGAGTTGAGTCGAGTCGAGCTGGTACTGGTAATGGAATAGCGCCAATTTACTCCTCTGTAGCGGTTTTCGAGTTTCCTTTACCAGAATTGAGATGTGAGATGACCATTTTACGCTATTTCAGAATCAGAATCAGTTTTATTGCCAGATATGTGTACACATACGAGGAATTTGACTCAGGATTGTACATTGCTCACGATGTGCTTACTTATACAATAATACCATAACACAATAAGAAAATAATAATAAAATAAAATCAGACACAAACTACTGAATAGACAGCACTAATATACACACTATGAACAAAACAATATAGACATATTGACAAATAGTGCAGTGATCAGAGTGCAAAGGATGCAAGAGTAAACTATTCTCATTATGTACATGTTGAAGGTGGGTATGATATACAGGTACACATACACATACATGCATACAGGTACACATGTACACAGTGTGATGGAGCATAGTGCAAAGGATGCTGGAAAAAATAAATAAGACCTATGACCTTATGACCTGAGGTAGGTGTATTGGTATACAGTATATACAATATGACATAGTATGAACATAGTATGAACATAGTATGAACAGCACTGGAATAGAGAATGGTGAATAAATAAATAATAAGTGGTAACCAGTAAACAGGTGGCTGATTAGAGACAGAGTTACTGGGTTATTGCACAGGAATTGTTCCTGACACTGTGAGTCAGAAATCAGCTGTTCATCAGAGTGATGGCTTGTGGGAAGAAACTGCATCTGTTGGTTTTGGCGTACAGTGGTCTGTAGCGCCTACCAGAGAGGAGGAGCTGGAACAGGTTGTGTCCGGGGTGAGATGGATCTGCAGTGATGTTTCCTGCCCAAGTCCTGAATGGAGGGCAGGTTGGCGCCGATTATTTTTTCTGCAGTCCTGACTGTCCGTTGTAGTCTGTCCCTGTCCTTTTTGGTGGCAGATCCAAACCAGACAGTGATGGAGGTGCAGAGAACAGACTGGATGATGGCTGTGTAGAACTGGATCAGCAGCTCCTTAGGCAGGTTGAGCTTCCTGAGCTGACGCAGGAAGTACATCCTCTGCTGGGCCTTCTTGATGATCGTGTCAGTGTTGGGCTCCCACTTCAGTACCACTTAGTGGAACCCAGAAACCTGAAGGATTCCACAGCAGACACAGGGCTGTTGAGTATGGTGATGGGGGGCAGAGTGAGGGGGCTCCTCCTGAAGTCCACGGTCATCTCCACAGTTTTGAGCGTGTTAAGCTCCAGGTTGTTCTGACCGCACCAGAGAGCCAGCTGATCAACCTCCCGTCTGTAGGCCGACTCATCACCGTCCCAGATGAGGCCGATGTGTCGTCAGCGAACTTCAGGAGTTTGACAGATGGGTCCCCTGAGGTGCAGTTGTTGGTGTAGAGGGAGAAGAGCAGTGGGGAGAGCACACACCCCTGGGGGGCGCCAGTGCAGATAGTCCGGGTGCTGGTTGTGATGTTTCCCAGCCTCACCTGCTGACTCCTGTCAGTCAGGAAGTCTGTGATCCACTGACAGGTGGAGGCTGGCACAGTGAGCTGGGTGAGTTTGGTGCTGAGGATGTCCGGGATGATGGTGTTGAACGCCGAGCTGAAGTCCACAAACAGGATCTAGCATATGTCCCTGGAGAGTTGAGGTGTTGCAGGATGTGATTCATACCCAAGTTGACAGCATCATCCAGTGACCTGTTAGCCCTGTAGGCAAACTGCAGGGGGTCCAGCAGGGGGCCAACACCAGTCTTTCAAAGGACTTCATGACTACAGATGTCAGGGCAATGGGCCTGTAGTCATTTAGTCCAGAGATGGAGGGTTTTTTTGGGACCGGGATGACTGTGGAGCGTTTGAAGCATGAGGGAACTTCACACAGCTCCAGTGATCTGTTGAAGATCTGAGTGAAGATGGGGGCCAGCTGGTCCGCACAGATTTTCAGGCAGGATGGAGACACACCATCAGGGCCAGGAGCCTTGCTGATCTTCTGCCTTTGGAAGAGGTGGCTCGCGTCCTCTTCACAGATCTTGAGTGCAGGTGAGAGGTCAGAGGGGGAAGGTGACTGTTTGAAGATGGCGGTGGAGTGGGGGAGAGGTGTGACTCTGGGCTTTTCAAACCTACAGTAGAAACCATTCAGCTCGTCTGCCAGTCGTTGAGTACCAGCAGTGTTGAGGGATGGTCTCTTGTAGTTTGTGAGTGTCCGTAGGCTTCTCCACAACGACGCAGGGTCGTTGGCTGCACTGACTTCTGACTTCTGAAGGCCTCCTCCTTGGTCTGACGAAGCTGCCTGAGTTTCGCTGTGAACCAGGGTTTTTGGTTATTGTATGTGCGGAAGGTTTTTGTCGGCACGCACGTCCTCACAAAAACTAATGTAAGAGGTCACAGTGTCAGTTAGTTCGTCCAGGTCAGTGGCTGCAGCCTCAGAAACACTCCAGTCAGTACAGTCAAAGCAGGCCTGGAACTCCAGCTTTGACTTGTTGGTCCATCTTTTCACAGTCTTTACAACAGGTTTAGCAGATCAGAGAGTCCCAAGGCTGCATGGGGAACAGAGCGATAGGCATCCTTTAATGTTGTGTAGCAGTGGTCCAGTGTGTTAGTGTCCCTGGTGGGACACTTAACATGCTGTCTGTATTTTGGAAGTTCATGACTGAGGTTTGCTTTGTTAAAGTCCCCAAGAACTATGAGCAGGGAGTCTGGATGTTTTTTCTCCACGTTAGTTATCTGGTGGGCCAGGTGTAGTAACGCCTCACTAACACAGGCCTGAGGTGGAATGTAAACGGCGACCAGAACAAACGAAGAAAACTTTACAGATTATAAATAATGTCTCTAGGTGAGGCCTGCATGATTTCTTCAACACTGTGACATCTGTGCACCAACCTTCGTTTATATAGAAACAGAGTCCGTCTCCCTGTGTTTTCGTTCAGTGAGCCAGGATTCGGTGAAACAGAGGGCAGCAGATCTGCAGAAGTCCGAGTTAGTTCTGTTTGAGGAGCAGCAGTTCGTCCATTTTGTTGGCCAGAGAGCGGACATTCGCCAGGTGAATTGAAGGGAGCGCAGTGCGAAATCCCCGCTGTCTCAGCTTAACCAGCGCGCCTGCTCATTTTCCACTGCACCGTTTCCGAAGGATCCCAAACAGAGCTGCCGCTCCTCGCTTCCAGCAGTGGAATAGTATGAGCAGTTCAAAGTCCAATGTTTAAGAGCTCTTCTCTGGTAAAAGTTACCACAGAGGGACGGCAGAAAACAGTGTTAATTAACAAAAACACAAAAAGCACTACGGTGCGTAATCCCGAAGCGGCCGTCTGCGGCGCCATCTTGGTTATTATTTGTAATACTGACTCAAAGGAACCTGCACCACCTCTTCATTGATGTAGATATTGAGCGGTAGGTTGTTCTCTGTGCAATAATCTGCACGATCGCGATTTCCTCCTGAAATGAAGTCTCACTGTTGTTTGAATTCTGGCTGAGGATGGTGGTGTTGTCTGCAAACTTCTCACCATGTCGGGACTAGTTTCTCAAGCATTTCATCAGAATGGAGGTTAGTGCCACAGGACGGTAGTCGTTCAGACTAGACACCGCAAACTTTTTAGGTACAAGGACGATGTTGGCAGTCTTCAAGCAGGTGGGAATACTCTCCTGTGACAGTGATATGTTAAAAATGTCAGTAATAATATAAACTGATTGGCACAGGTTTTTAGTACATGGCCAGTGGTGTAATCAGGCCCAGCAGCTTTGTTCATATTTAGTCTCAGCAGGATTCCTCTCTTACCTGCTGTGGATATTGCTAGTAGTGGATGCTGGCAGTGGCTGGTCCTCTGGAGGTGGAGTAGACTTGACTCTTTGTTGAGCATAAAATGTGTCTGCTAATATGTCCTCACACATGATGCTGCTTTGTAGCCTGTGATGTTTTTGATCGCCTGCCACATATCTTCTGTGGTGTTAGTGTTGGTGTTGTGGTCTCTCTCCTGTCTCTGCTGATGTCTCTGCTTTGCCTTTTTGATGCCAGCTTTCCGTGTCGCTCTGACGGTGCTGTGTGCTTTCTTATCACCTGACCGAAAGGCAGCTTTTTCACCTCTCCAAAAGTAGCAGCAATATTAACCATTTGGCAGTCTCAACGTAGCACTGCTCTAAGTTGCATTACTGCATAAAGTTCAAAGCTAAAAAAATAAATATTATTTACGTTGACTTGGCGGACAAATCAATGCTGTATTACATTTCTGCTTTCACAGGGGACCTATTATGCTTTTTCATATTTTCATGGGGGGGGGTCTCTCAACAGGAACATCTACAGCTTGTTTCAGACAGATGCTGAAATGAGGGCCTGCATGAAGTGCCAGTATAAGATAGAAAATTATTTTTTTAAACTTTGAATCATGCAAAGCTACCATAGAGGAGTCAAAGAACTTCAGTATAGGGCTGGAAATGCAGTATAGGTCTCCTTTATTATTGTGTGTGCCAGATTTGTGTAGGCTTTTGCACACGTTTTTTAGGCAGCTGGGACGCATTCTGCCCCAAACACGTGCTATATGCATCAAACAAACGTATCAGGCTGGAGTCACAGTTTGTGTGTCAGTTTGTGAAGTGTAATGATAAAAATTTTAATACAGTATTATTACTGGATAATACTTGAAACTGCCTCTGCTTCTTTTCATTTCACCCTTCCTGTGTGTCAGAAGAGTTTTTCAGTTGAAAGGGCAATGGTGTTCCATGTCAGTCCATGAGTTGTTTACTTCCACAGATTGTGACTCATCCTGGTTTTACAGACGTCGTTTGACTGGGGGTGATTTAACAGCTATAGTCATTGTGGGACTGATGATTAGTTGTTCGACTCACTAGAGAGTAGATCTGCTTTGTCAAGTTTTATAAACTCTTTTTTTCTCTTGTTTCTCTCACTCCATTTATCTCTAATTAAAAAAAGATTATCTCGTTCTCTGTTGTCTGTCTCCTCACGCTACCTCACACCTCTGTACTTTTGTCATTAATTCACTACCTTTCATCTGCCATCTCTCTAATTAAAATACAACCTTAATCATCTCCCTGTTTCACTTCCATTTTGCCCTCCACCCCCCACCCTCTCTCTTTATCAGTTTTCCTCTGTCACACCCAATATCTTATTCTTATTGGGTGATCACAGTGAAGTAAACAAGCTGGCACAACGCCAAGTCATAAAGATCCAAGAGAGTTTTTGACCATGGTTGACTCCTTGTCTTTTACTCCTTATCCCTTTCTTCTTCTTTTATCCTTATTTGTTCCTTCCTCTCCCATGGAGGGGAAATATATTAGAAGTTAATTGAGGATATGTAGCCTATATTAGGGGTCTCTTGACTATGTTTTGGCAAGTACTGCTATAACTGTTAACTATTAATACTCATTTAGATTCTAATAAAAATGACATGAATGTACCATCAATATCAGATAGGTCTAATAAACATTTTAGTTTAGTAAACCTAATAATCTGGGCTTTGTCTTTGTCCAGTAACACAACTTCTCTCTATTGTCCACAGAAAAACCAAGAGAGGCCTGTTTTGACCCTGGTAACATTATGAACGCCAGTCGGACAGGTTATGACTATAAATTGGGATCTCAAGTCTCCTACAACTGTCACCATGGATACACAACAGTGGGCGGGGAAACCATCACCTGCATCATGGGGCATGATGGGAAGCCGGTGTGGGACAGGGCTCTGCCATCATGTAAAGGTAGGGGAGACACATCAAGAACTGCACCCTTACAAAAAATAGACACCGTTATGTTAAATTTTTTAAAAACAACCTGTTTGCACTACGTTATTAGGTACACCTGTACAATTAATGCAATCTGATACCACTGTTGTGCCATTAAGATTACTTTTATGATGCCTACAATCAGTTTTTGCTGACACTGTCAGAGAGATGATGATTCAATTATTTGTTTTAGCACTGAGGTCATATACAGGACTGCATTATATTCAGAGGTGTTTCTAATATTCCCCATCCTTCATGTATGTACATTGGAAGGACAAATATAAGAATCATCTCTCATTATAATGTAGTCCAGCACAACATCACCTTTCATTGAATTTGAATTTACACATTTCAGACAAAAAAATAAACATGATAAACTTCGTAAGGTTGAACTTATGGCTGAGCTCCATCCATCTATCCATCGTCAACCGCTTATCCTGCATACAGGGTCGTGGGGGCTGGAGCCAATCCCAGATGACATCGGGCGAATCATGAAGTAGAGTAGTAAATCAAAAGGCAGAGTGAGTTGTGGGAAGACTTACAGCTGTCATGTGTTGTGCTGGTTGTCTCTTAGGCTGTGACATGCACTGACATATCTTGCTGCTTCTACAGTGCTGACACTTTTTCAGCACTGTAGAAGTAGATGTTGCATTTTAGTCTGGTCAGAGAGTATCAGAATCCGGGAATTTACATTTAATTTTTGTAAAGAAGTTTCTTCTAATAGCTTCATATGTGCTACATTATAGCCTGCTCTCTCTCTCCCCATGTTGCCTGTGTGTCTCTATAATATCAGTTATTTATTAATAGTGAATGTGGCACAAAAATGTTTTTAATAAACTGCATATTTACAAGTCACACCCAACACCTGTGGTTACCATGGAAAGATATGATGACTGATTTATCGAAACCTAAATGGTATGATGGTATTCAGTGTGTGCATATGTGCGTGTGCATGTACACAGTGGAGACAGAGAGTCTGTCAGGGATTGGAAGGCTGAACTGTCTAATTGATTGACATCTCAGACATCCCAGGGATGTGACACCTTCCAAACTGCCATTGAAAGTGTATATGTGATTTTGTCTGTGTGTGTGTGTGGATGGGTCAGTGGGTAGTGTGTGATCTCTAAAGTGACAGAGACCTGGCATGGTGCCATGTGGATAAAAAAAACATTCAAATAAGCCACAAAGCAAGGTGGCAGGACAATGAAGGAATTTTAAAATGAGCTCATAATATACACACACACACACACACACAATCCACACTTACTTATACCTCTTAACATTTTGAAAAAGGTTCCTGTAAAAGCTCTGTTTAATAATGTCTGAGAGACAGTGAAGAGGTGGGGGAGAATAAAGATGAGATAATTGCACTCAGAGTAGCTATTTGAGAACAGCAACGAATAATAGACAGCAAGAAAAAAAAAAAGCTCATCAAGTCATTTTATCTCATGTTCACATTCATCTAGTTTATTTCATGGTAATACTGCCACTTATCAACTTCAGATGTGTTTCAGTTACTTAACCAACCTCAATGCAGGGATTTTCTCTTTAGCCAGTGGTGGAAGAAGTATTGAGCTTCTTAACTCAAGTAAAAGTACCAATACCACGATGTGAAAAATCTACTACAAGTAAAAAGTCCTGAATTTAAGTATTAGAAACAACATTTACTCAAAATATGAAAAGTAAAAGTAGTCATGAGTGGTAAAATGGTCCCTGGCAGTGTTATACTGTTATATATAATGTTTTTGGATTAATATTACTGATGTATTAATGTGTATGTTGTATTTTAGTGCTGTAGATTTTTACAGCTGTACTAATGTGAACTAGTTTATATTTAAATTTGTAATTTAACCTTCATTTAACCAGGTTCGTCCCATTTCATCTAATTTTCAAGCGAGACCTGGACATGGATAAAAAACATATACTTGCAGCAAGTCAGCAAAATGGATAAAAACCATATACTTGCAGACATAAAACTCAAAAGGAGACAAAAAAACAGATTAGGGAACTCACATTTCAAAAAGAGTCAGAGTCGCGTAACCACGAGGGTTATATACTTTATTTAGTGTAAGAAGTAGGCGAGTGTTCTCAAGGCATAAAGGAACACCTAATCAAAATCATCACATTTGGAGAAAAATGGTTTTCACTGGACATTAAGGGTATGAAAAATTGTAATCTGAAAAATAACTAGAAACTGTTAGACAAATGTAGTGGAATAAAAAATAAAATATTTACCTCTGAGATTTATTGGAATAGAAGTATAAAGTTGCATTAAATGGAAATATTCAAGTATACAGTATGTAGTATAAGAGCCTCAAATTTTGCACCTACGTACAATACTATTATATAAGTACTATATAATTACTAAGAAAAATGTGTTTATATCTCATTTTTTTGGTGCAGCATCTGTGCACTTGAAGCAATTTTTTTCAGGGTTTCCAGCTAGCTAGTTGGCCGCCCAGATAAGAAACCCAGAAGGCAGTCGTTTAGGCCATAATTTTGTCGGTAAAAGAATTAGTTCATTATTTGGTCCGACCATTAACCGGCCAGTTACTTGATCAGTGAATAACTTACCTGCTACATTTGTTGGATGGGCAAAAGGAAGCTTTTCCAGTGTTTGGTAACATTAACAAGCTTTCTTTGCTGTTACATAAATAACTTGTGTTCGTTAGCAAACAGGGGTGGCTGAAATTGATTGAGTATAATATTTAGATGCTTTCCCCCACAAACAAATATATTTATGAACAGGAGCCGTGTATTGATATTTCAGTCACGTTTGAAGACTATTAATAGAAGACTACATAATGGTCCTCCATCAAATAAAAAATGATCTGACTCTCTGAAAGGCCTCAAACTTCATCTGGGAATTAATTCCTGTCTTTTTGCTGTAATTGATTTTGACATAATTTACAGATAAGCTGTGTTTCTTTCTGCTTGTTACAATGGCAAAGTAAGTAAGTATATTTATACATTTATATTCACACTTTTTTGGACACTGTGGTGTGTTTTAGAAGTTCTAGATTGACCCCAGTTTCAACAATATTAGCCCGGCTCTTCGTTGGATGAGCTGTTTAATCTGTTTCCTCACAGTTAGACAGGCCTGTGGTTTGTGGCCCAGGCCCTTTCTGTGTCCCAGATATATGGATTGATCTGCCAAGATTGCTGTCACCTTCACTCTGAGACAATTCACATAATCAAAACAGAACAATTTAACTTAATCCAGTCCTCCTCAGTAATCTTGCTTTTTTTCCTCCCTTGGCTCGTATTGCACATTGAATTTTCTCACCACATAGTTAGGGAAGTTTCTTTGTCTGTCTGTCTCTCTCTCTCTCTCTGTCTTTGGGCAGCTCTTGGGGCTTTTAGACCAAACTCATTAGACGGGGTGAGACCTCTTTAAATAATACATCTCCACTTACACTCCCTTGTCTTCTCTCTTCTTCCTTTTCATCCCCCCTTACACTTTCTCCTCCTTTCTTTTTCCTTTTCTGTGTAACTACTTCTCACTCTCCTCCATCCCTTCCTGTTATGTCGTCCTCTCTGCCTCCCTCTCTGTTTTTCTACCTTCCTCCCACCTCCTCTGTCTGTGTCTGATTTCCTCTATATTTTTCTCTCACCATTTCTCTCTGGCTCTCTCTCCCCTTCTTGCCCCTCTCTCTCTGTGTCTCTCTCTCTCTCACACACACACACACACACATACACACACACACACCTCCCATCTTAAACCGCTCTTTTATTGGTTTCCATGGTAACTAAGAGCTGGTGCGAGAAAGAAGGAATTCTCCGTGACTGTTGATAGGGGTGTGTGTGTGTGTGTGTGTGTGTGTGTATGTGTGTGTGTGTGTAAGAGAGGGAGAGAGACACAGAGAGAGGTAAAGTGAGAGAGGGACATTGCTATTACAGTGTGCTGCCTAGAGTCAGTAGTCACGCGCACACGCCCTAACACACATACAGATCAAAAACAGGATACCTCTCATGTTTATTCATCCAAACACATTTGAATGCTCGATCTTTGGACACGCGATATAATGTATTTTTTAATATCAATTAAAGAGGAACTCCACACTAAATTATTTATTTTTTTGAGCTGTGCACATAATGACGTAATCATGCATGTAGTTTTTTGCTCAAAATTAGCTTGTATGTATACTTGTATTACGTATGTCAGCTGCCACACCAAAAATAAATAGCATCTCAGTGGCTAATCGTAGCCCGTTTGTGCCTCTCTCAAGTAGCTGCTGGTTGTGTTAGCATTAGCAAGACTGATAAGCGTCTGCGGGAAAACCACATTGCACATGAGCATGATTTATTTCTCTTCAATAGCATTAGGTACAACGCATGGACCTGACGATAACAGTAATGTTAACACTGGTACCCACCTTTCTTATATACAGTCTATGGTACCCACACAGTAACTCTCGCAAATGGCCATTAATGTGCTTCTGCTGACTGTCAAAGCTCCACCAGACTCCCTGTCTTTCCAGCAAAGAAACGGAGAGCCTTACAGTAGCTGCTCATAGCTGGTTAGCTCTGACTACCACCTCTTCATCTCTATCCATGCTACACTAATGACTGGAATTAATTAGTGACTGAAAACATTGTTTTCAACATTTTTTTAACGGCAGATTGGTGAGTATGACATGTCTGCGCTGTCGTACTGGTGGAATTAGACTTGTATTAAGGTAGATTATGCTGACTTTACCCCTCAGATAGTAGAAGTGTACCCTTTCTCAATATTTTTTTACCTGGCCTTTATTTGTTCATACTGTCCATGTCACAGTTATTAATGTCCCCGCTTTCTTTATATTGTTATATTATTACTAAACATCTGGGATATTTCTTGTCACTGTTTTGATCTTCTGGCAGTGGCCATTACCTGTGTACTTGTACCTCATCGCACATGCTCATTCAGGTACACCAGGCCTTTGTTTAGGAGGTCTTCTGCTGCCACTACTCAGTTCATGTTCAGGCCACATATG